ATTTTTTTCTCCAATTTTTCCATCATCATCATGTTGGTCCTTCCACTTTACTCTCTCATCATCATAATCATTTTTTTCTCATCCTCATCATTTCCATCATCTGGCAACAAGGAGACGACAAATATACACACTTTGAAAATTACTTGATGATTTGCTTACCATTTCTACATTTTACCAAACATATTATAATGTATGTACACAACACCAAGAGGAGCAATACCTGATTCTGTTTGCTTGTTTGGACTTTTTTTGAAAGAAAAAAAAAGATTACCAACAATGATTACAATCATCATCTTCCTTATTATGTATATTATGATGATGAAAACAACCTTGGAATGTTATCTTCCTGCAGAATCCCCTCTAAGCCCAGTTTTTACTTATCGTCTCTCTCTCTAGTATTCTGACAAGTCTGTAAGCTGTTGTGTCCATTCAAAAGTAAATTACCAACAACTGACTAACTATGTGTTTATAAATACGTTTATTAGCATAGTGTTGGTGATCAACCATGTGTGTGAATTAACAAACAAATGTCATCTTTGTTGATTTTCTTACTCTCTCTCTCTCTCTCTCTCTCTCTCTCTCTCTCTCTCTCTCTCTCTTATCTCTCTTCTTGCCAATCTCCACTTCCATCAACAGCATCCGTTTCAACAGCATCTATCATGTTGACGATTTTTTATCTTACCAACATTATCAAAACGTCTCATATCATTATATACAGTCCTCAAAGTTTACAACAATCAATTGATTATAACTCGATCTGGTTATGATAATTTATAAATTTTGAAATATAGTCATTGTAGTAGTTTTGAAAATGATTTTTATATAATTTCTATTAATTAATTATTTAATTATTTATTAACATTGCATCGATCAACTCGTCAAGTTTAAGACATTGTTTGTTTTATCAATTTATTTTTTGATATTCTAATTGTTCAAGATTATGCATTAGTTTTTGTTGATTTTCCTCTTGAGACATTTCCTTGATAAATCTTTCGTATTCTGACCTCATTTATTATTAGCTAATTAAGTGATAATTTATCATTTTGACCTTTACACTAGTTTTATTTTCTCATTATTCACGATGAGTTTCGATAGTTCATTCGATTGGCTCATTGATAATAATATGCTCTGACTCAAGATTTATTACCAATTGATCGTTCATTACTTGATTCTGTGATTCTTTTGATAGATTTTGATCAAAACAGTGACGATGTTAATCATATACTAAATATACATTATAATCAATTGATTGTCCTTAAACTTTTGCCGAGGACTGTACTTTTGCATAGTTTGTTAGTTTCGCCATCACTTGTATATGAATTATTATTATGAGTTTACAAGGTTTGAATTTTTGTTTCTCTCTCGCTGTTGATTGCGTCTCCCATTATTATTATCATTCATTTCGTTCCATTATTATTATTAAATTCATCATCATCAGACATCATTGTCATTATGATGGTGATTATTATTATCGCTATTATTTTGATCTGTTGACCAGGCCACTTAACTAGTATCTCTCTCTCCCTCTCTCTCGCTTTTCACTTTACCTGAGTTTGTTTTTTTGCTCTATCCTCTTGACCGCTTTTTTTTCACCTTTATAATATTATATATCTGTTGTTGTTACTGGACCCGACAATTTATTTGACCAAATCAGGTTTCACTTGCACTGAACCATTCACATCATTTCTCCATCTTTACCATCACCTTTTTTTACATTAATAGTTATGTACCTTGTCGTTAATCTTCATCATCTTAAAACAACATCTTTCTCATTTCACTTAAAATTTACACTCAATTTGATTGTTGCGTGTTCATTGACCATTTCGATTGAATCAGTTGTGTATTACTTTTTAATAGATTATCATCATTATCTTGTTATCATAATTATAATCATCTATCACGCATTTTATCATCCTTATCATCAAACGGCTAAAACTCTATCTCTCACTCCAAGTCATCTGTTAACCTCTTCATGTGTCTAATTAACTGATCAATAATTATTTTGATTTTGTTTTTTAGTTTCAAATATTGGCCAAAAAACCGCAATCAGACTCACCTAGTTTAACTATGATGATGATAATCTAGATTATCATCATTAGTAGATCTGCAAATTGCAAAAGGCGATAATGATGCTGATGATGAAGATAATCTCGATTGTCTTCTGTTTATTATCTTCTTCCTCCTTGGATGGATGATCTCTCTCTCTCTCTCTCTCTCTCTCTCTGCAGAGGATAAAATTCTCAATATCAGGGATCCTCCTTACTCTTCCCTTTTTCACTCTCCTTTTCCTCCTCCCTTCCTTCCTTTTCCACCTCCACCCTACCAACTAATAACTAAGAATTATTTTCTTTATTTCTTTTTATCATCATCATCATCATCATCGTCACTAACATTTTAACTTTCTATTGTATTGGTAACATTGTTTTGGAAAAAAAAATTCAAGTGAAGAAAAAAAAGTTTCTCCTTCAAAATTGTAAACTTTTTTTTCTTGCAACTTTTTCAAATATTAAACTGAACAATTTGATTGTGCTTATATCATTAACAATCAATGATTGTTTCAATGATTAAATTGTTTTCCACAATCATCATTATCAGCCAAATTAAGACTTACTATGTAAGTCAACCTTGAACTGTTCAAACCCAACCTCTTATCATCATCATCATCATTTTGCCCTTTAAGATATAAGCTTATAAACATGATAATCATGATGATGGATTCAAATTGATTATCTGATTATAATAAATCATTAGAGTTTTCAAATAACAATTAAATTTCCTTGATTTTTTCTTTCTCTCTCTTGGTTAATCATAGATGTAAAAATAATGGTAGGAAACGAATGAAAGTAAAAATAAATCACAATTAAGAGGTCACCTAATCAATCAATACAATCATCTCCAATGTCAAATGATTAATATAATATTATTTATAATTAATATTCTAATTCACTGATTGTTATCATCGTGATCACCATAATCCTAATCATCTCAACCCTGTTCCATATTTAATTGTTTGGCACATTTGCTTAATCATTACTTACTTAATACTTTGAACAAAAAAAAACCATCAAAAACTTCAAAGCAAATCAACAACATTGTTGATTACGAGCTGATTAATGTAGTTTATATTTTTTATTAATCAAAATTGACTAACTAACCTAATTGTAAGTGTTTCTCATCTGATTAGATTAATGATTAACAATATATATATTAAAAAGGTAGATTGTTAATCAACAACAATAATTAGGCCTCGAAGCAATGAAAAAAACAGAAACAAAATCATCAACATTAATTTACCATGAACCTAATTTTTTTTTAATTTTAATAGTAATTCTATTATATATTAACTAATTTAATTCTTGTAGGTTGTTAACCAATGATGATAATAACATGATACTCATCTTCATGATCACTGAATCAAAATTTGAAACTGAATTTAGCCTTAGGGTTATAAACAAAAACAACAACAAGAGATAAATATAAAAGTTTTTCTTTTTGTTTTGTTACTTTTATCATTACACTTACATGATTTAATTGTTTATCAATTTGATTTGATTTACTTTTTAATAATAATATTATATTAATTACTACAGTATTATAATTATCATCTGTATGATGGGTGCAACTGTTATTATTGTTTGTTACCTTTTATCATCTCACCCCCGCAATCATACCGAGTCAATGGACTTTACGTGTGATGATCAACAATAACAATACTTTATTAATTGTAGTTACGATAATAATAAACAACTGTAACAATCAAAATCACTTAATGGTGACTGTTTATTATTGTATTACTTGTGCAGGTAGAAGATACAATAAGAAAGGAGAAAAAGTTTCTAATTTTTTTTTCTTACAAAATTAATCTTCTTCTTGTCTCTTGATCCATCCATCTAATTGTTTAATATAATCCTCTTGATGATGTTGGTGATGATATAATGATATAATATAACTGTAAACGCCTATTCAGTATTTTAATCAACTCATTCAGTTACAATCATCATCATCATCATCATAAGAAAATCATTTTATATCATTCAAAGTTAATCCAGTTTTTGATCACGAAGATAATTTTTTTTAATTTCTTGATATTTAAACTGAATCACTGATGATGATTACAATCATCATGAAAAAAAGTTAACATTCACTAAATCATTTTGAAATTGCTTCTTATTGAGTGTTAATGTTTGATCATGTTAATTGTTGATAAAAAATTGATTAAAGGATTAAATTATAATGATTATGATGATGATGATGATGAGGATGAGGATGAGGATGGTGATACGAATAACAATTGTGACATAAAGTTTAATGATATCTCATTATTAGTCTTATCATAATATTGTAAATTGTTTGACCTAAAATTATCTTAATGATAATGATGATGTTTTGATTAAGTTAATTGTAGCAACGGTCAAGCATATTAACAATTCAATAGACCATTTCTTTTGATATTAATGATAATAATAAATGCGTAGGACTTTTCAAATGGTTAAATACCGTTATATTTAATTCAAATTATCATTAGTTGGTATTGTGATGATGAGAAATGATTTCTATCCATCATAAATACATATACTAATTATCATGATAGTTAATGTCTTCTCATCTTTTCATAATCATCATCATCATCATTCCCTCCTCCTCCTCCTCCTTGATTTAATTTACTCTTAATCAACCCACTCCGATGTTACTTTATCATCACCCTACTTACCCCTTTCTCAATCAAACTCACTCTCGTCTTCATCTTAATCATCAGACAACAAGTTGTATAAATAATCAAGTTTCCTTAATCATCTTAACCCTTTACCTGACATAACTATAATCATCCTTTACTAATCATAATGATGATTATAATTGTAATCCACTTTTTTTGCTAATTGTCTCCTGCCAAGAATCAAGAGAAATGGAATGAAGAAAAAAAATTCTAATCACCATTATAATTACACTTAACTGATTTATCTTATTCTTTTTTTTTCTTCATCTTAATTGTTACAATTTAGAGTAAATCATTTCCTGTTACCTGTTCTGGTAAATTAGGAAGCTTAATATTGGATTATCAATATGGATTTAACTTTTCCGCTGCAACAACTGGTCATCCAAGTGAACTTAATAATAACAATAAACAACATAACTGGTCATTCAAATTTTCACAATTGAAAACCTCTTCCGATGACGGAAGGTCCACCCTTTGGCTTTCCTTTCGTCTACCTGTGTTATCATCCTCATCATCTTCAACCTCTTCACCCTCCTCATTATCAACCTCATCCCGGTACGAGATTAATAAGGAAAGATTAAAACGATTAACAACCAATCCCAATCAACATCATGATAGATCATCAGAAACTTTAACACATTCATCAACTTCATCGATAACTGTTGCTTCCGATAATCCTAATCTTCCAACAGCATCTTCATCATCTTCATCAGCTGGATCACTTTTACCATCAACTCTAAATCATCATCATCAACAATCAGAATCAATTGGAAAACAATTTACCATTGAGACTCGGGAAATTAAAACAAATCAACTTCAACATTTACTTTATTGTATCCATGCATTTTTAACGGCCAAAGTTATTTCAGTTGATCAATCATTTATTTGTTAATTGTTTCCTATTCCTCTTCACCTCAAGTCAACAATCAATTTTAATTATTATTATTATTGCATATAACTAATCATTATTCAAGAAAATTGACTTTCTCTGATAATTATCTATTGTCTACTGAGATAATTGAAATTTTTGGTTAATCCCACCTGATTAACAATTAAGATTGTCTAACTTTTCAAGAATTTACTTTGCCATCACCATTCAAAAACCAAATCAATTAACTAATTACCCAAATAATTGTTTTTTTTTATCTTCATTTTCTTGTTATATTTTCTTCCCTTGTCTTTGTATTTCAATTGTATCCAATGGTGGTGATTTAAATTGATTCAGTTGTTTGATTGAACTTTACAATCAATCAAATAACGATGTAAAATTTTTATTCACACTTTTGTTTGTGTGTGAATTTAAATTGATTGTTATAGCATTTAAATTATGGATTAAATTAAGACTAATAATAATTATCAACATTCTTGATAACCAACAATCAACTTTGTATATTATGTGATTTATAATTAATATATCAACTCTTTGTATCTTTAACCATCTTAATTGAGGTTAAAAATATTTGCTATTCCAATCAAATTAATCGACTTGTATAAACTATTATAATTATAATTAAGACAAAACAAAAATGTATTTAACGACTTCTAAATTTTCCTACAACAATTAAATTCACTTGAAAAATAAAACTCTCTCACTATGATTACAACAATTAATCACAATTTAATCATTTTCATCTTGTTTTTTTTTCTTCAACAAATCGAATCACAATTAAATTAGAATTAGTAACTGAATCCATCAACAACATGAATCTTGTCCACTGTCGATATTTAAATCGACACAACAATTATTTCTTACAGTTTTCCAGTAAATACAAGAATAGGCAAAGAGTAGAGAGAAAGAGACAGCACATAACAGAAAAACTTTTAATCTGAGGCAACATTTTTAATTGAATTGACCTGAACGTAAATAGTTCCATCAGCCAATATATAACATCGTCATATATTCACAAAACTATTAGCGGCAAAATCTAATTCATAATTGTAATAATAAGTATTCGTAATGTTTCCTGTTAAAAATGTGAATTTAATATGGGTTAATCCCCATCAATCGCGCATTGAAAAGCGTAGATGGAATTGAAATAAGGTCTTCGCCAATTTTGAAAATTCATCTCAATTTAACTGAACTTTTACACCAAAATCCAATGTATAAATCCAATATGTGCCCTTGTTTGATTATGGTAATCTTTTAATGATTCCTATTTAAATTGGGAATTCTTTGATCTTTTATAAGAACATGGCATCCAACGAATCAGTGCGATGCCTCCATATTGATCAAATTAGAAACATTCGAAATTCTATTCCAAATCTCATCACGAAAATCCTCTCTTCCTGGAATAATAAACTGCATCCAAAATGGATCACGATAATAGATCAATTTTGCTTTGATAGAATTAGGATTCGGAAATTAATTCAGTTTAGTTGTTGAAGAATTAGTGTTTGAAGTTGCCGCTTTTCGATTCCTATTTGATGCACATGCGCAGCTGATAAGCGAAAAATTAATTTGACTTTTGAGAAGATCAAATAAAATTCAATTGTTTTGATTAAAGAATTAAATTGTTTTAATTAATCTACTATTATTTATTGTTACTATTTTAATTGGATTAGTTACAAGATAAAATGGTGAGTTGTTTTAAGAATTCAGATTAATTGTATTCTCATTTTGGTTTTTGTTCTGTTTCATTGATCATTGGAATTTAATTTATTTCCATTGTTAGGCTTCTGTGGATAAACGTTACCTTGGATTGGGTTATGAGTATTCACCTGATTTCCATATAGCATTTGCTATGATCGCTTTTTCCGTGATTGTCATGGTTCTTGTGGTTCTTGGTGTATCCGTGGGTATGTGGAACATGGATCCAGGTAGAGATTCAATAATCTACCGGGCAACCAGTCAGAAGATTAAGAAAGACCAATGATTCGCTGTTATCATCTTCATCTTTAAATGGATTAATTAACCATCATCATTCCATATTGTGTTTTTTTCTCTTCTCTTTTCTCTTTCATCCTTCTTTCCTCCCTCCCTAATGGTGGAATCAATCAAGTCAACATATTATATCACTGAAACATTACTTGAACTCTCTATTATGGTTTAGATCCAAGTGTGTTTTTCCTCTTTTTTTTTGTTAATCAAGATTTTTTTAATTATATTTATTCCATATGGATTAAAAAAAGCAAAGAGATTCTGTGTTTTATCAAGTTGATTTTAAAGAGTTTCAAAGTTCTTTAAATCTTACATTTGATAAACAAAATTCTAATGTATACAACTAAAAGATATTTAAAAATTGAACAATCAAGAGATGACGAAAGGATTTACACCTCCTTCTCCCTTTCTCTCTCTCAATTTTTCTCCATTTTCTGAGAGCCATCACCTATTCAACTGTGTACAAATTGTTACCATAACTGCAATCATGAAAACCATGAAAGATTGGAAAGATTCATACAATAATTTAGGACTAATCACCGTCCAGATGAAAAGATGATTACGAAGGATCAATGCGACAATCATGAAATAACCAACGGTGGTAAATTGTAAAGTTAACAAGAAACTAAAGGTTCCATTGATCACTTTGGTTGTCCTAACTGAGATGAGACTAGATTTGATTTCGGTGAGACGGACAAACATCATCAACAACCAAAGAGTTAATTGTGAATATGTATGGGAAGCAATTAGTATCCCTGTAAACATTGGCATATAATCATCTAAACCAATATAACCAGCGGCCACTTCAATTGTTGAAATATCATTTGAATTACCTTGACCATAATGAAAGGTCATTGCAAAGGTTAAATAGGTTGAAATGAAATAGACAATATTTGAAAAATCATTATTAAGAGACCATCGGACGATTAAATAAATCATCTTCTCCAAACCAATGGACAAAACAATTAAGGGGATGTTGACTAGTTTGGTTAGAAGGCAAATTAAAAGGATCCAACAAACGGTAAAGGTACGAAGGATACTCGGTGTTGGATCAGCATTTCGACGGGAATTTTTTGGCAATAAACCATCAATTAGATTACAATCAAAGTCAATTCGTCGACGTTTTAAAAAATTTTCCACCAGAAGCATCAATATATGAAGATAAACAAGACGAGCTTTAAACAATGATGATAACGAAGGAATCAAGTTGATAAAAGGTAAACGAAACGTTGTCAGAAAATTAGTATCACATCGGTAAAGGTAAATCCAAAATAATCCGGAAACTAAGATACATTGTTGTTTACTGAATCTACTTAAATTTGATAGAAATGAAATTAAAGTTAAAAAAATGATGGTCAAAGCAGTGGCGATACTACGAGTTGATTTGGTTGTGAAAAGTTGACCCAATGTAGGAGTGATTAAGGTTTGCCAAGAGGAGATCAATCGAATCAAAATTAGGGCAACAATATGTCCAATAATTTTAACTGCATAATCGAAAGGTAGAGACATGAAATTAAATATACTTGGGATGATTCGTTCGATTGTCAATAAACGACAACCATTTAGAATAACGATCGTCGATGAAAGATAGAACCAGAAAAAATGTTCCATTTCGATAAAACTTGTCGATGCTAAAAGTAGAACTCGTAAGATGAGAGCCAATAGAGTGAAAGTTTGAATCGGTTGATTGAATAGATTGTTAAATATCACAGAATTAATTTCCTTTGATTCATTTAGACCAATTTTCAAGGCGCTAAATAGGTTGAGTGTAATGGCGACAATTTGAATGGCCAGACCAATCATTGTGTTAGAATCTTGTTGATTGGTTAACTCTTTTTGAGCCGATTTAAGGAAATTTATGTAAACCTTGTCAATTGATTTTAAATTTTCCACCGATGAGGTTTTGTTTTTTACCATCACGAATTTATAATGTCCATTCAATGCTTTTGAAAGAGTGGTGATTGTCGGTGAACTGAATTTCATCAATTCGCTGAGTTGTATACTATTTTCAAAGAGATAACAAGTTGTCTGTTCAAGGGGAATAGACCATTGGTCAAATAGAGATGTTATTACAATTCCATGGCTTTTAGATGGAATTGGAATACCAAAGAGAAGAGAAATTGTCACAGCGATGTCGATCTGTTGAACAGAATTGGTTAATTTATCAGTAGATTTTTGTATCTGATGATTATTGGTTGAGTTTCCTTTTGAATGGATAAATATAAGAGCTGTTTCTGTTTCGGGTTCAGTTGATCCTCCATGATTACCTTCATTGGTCATTCCATGGTCACCGGTTACAATAATAAGATATGGTTCGGTTGATGAATAAACTTTTGTATAGATTGATTTTAACACTGAATCCATTTCGTTGAGTTTTTGAGGCATTAAATGTGATTTAGAACCATAACTATGGCCAATATGATCAACACCAAGATAGTGAAGAATCAGGAAATCCCATTCATCTAATTTACTCAATTCGGGTTTCATGTTCTCGGTGACATTAGTATCCACTTGAGTATAATCGGTGGCAAAGAAAGAGTAGGTTACATCATGGCGGATAAAAGTTTCACCGGGAAACATTTTCAACCAAGTATCATCTCCGTAGAAAATCATTCTTTTACCAGATTGTTTTGCTCGATCAATTAGATTATCCTCGTTGAAAGAAACAGCGTTTAGATTACGAATTAAATCTAGAAAATTTGGTTTGATTCCAGCAAGAATTGCTTTCAATCTCGGCATAGTTACAGTAGGTGTTTGAGCGATACTAGTTAATTTAACAGCTCCAACATTTGATGATAACAATCGAGAGGTGAAAGGCATAGAAGATGAACCATTATCGATACCATGACCATCTGAATTAGGAACGAAGTCACTTCGAAGAGCATCAATTAAAATGAAAACCATTTTATTGAAAATCGGTTTCTCCTTATAGACTTTACAATGATTCCGAATGGCATCAAAACCAGTGGAATTAAAACCAACAGCATTTTGATTGAAACTATTCAAATTTACCGACAATTTCTCATCAACTGAAAAATAACCATAAAGAAATAGAACAGTTGAAATAAAATTAATTCCAATCCAAAGGAAATTAGTTAATCGGGTAAAAGCCATTTCCAAATTGTTTTTGTCCAAAATCAAATTACCAAGACGATTGTTATTCCAAATAACACATTTTAAAACCGAACCAAATCAACTCAATAATACACAGAATAAAGAACCATCTCCAACAATAATTAGCACAAAATCAAAATTCTAAATCATTTGAAGATCTAATTAACTGAATTCGTTTAAGTGACAATTAGAAAACAAATCCAATTGAAAAAATGAAAAAATTTCCAATCAGCTGTTAACTTTTCTATTAACCAATAGATGTCACTGGTTTCGCTCAGAATTGGAGGTAAAATGAATTTTCAATCATTTTAATTGATTAATTAACTAATTGAATTAGTAGTGATTAATTTTAATCTGTTCTTTTACAATTTAGTGAAGGTATTTGAAGAATCAACTGAAGAGGATTGAAAGTGTATCAATTTATCTTCTTCTATTGGAAGCGTTAACTCTTCAGGTAAGTTGATACATTTTGTCATTTTCTTTTGTATTGAGAATATGTTTTTTTCTTGTTTAAAGACAATTTATCTTACAATTAATTTATTACCAATGATTGAGTTAAACAGACTGACATTTAATGGTTAAGAATGTCAATGGTAATTCAAAATTATCGTTATTCTAATCAACTAATTTAATCTAAACAAAGTGTTTAGATGTATAGTCATTGCCAAGAAAGAAAACTCTTTCTTTTTTTATCTCTTCTCTTTCTCTAATAAAGAAAAAGAGAAGAGAACAAAAAATATTCTATTTAACCATAAATTCTAAGGTAAATGATCACATTGATTTATTTTATTCTTTCTTTCTCTTTTTTCTTCTTCTTTTCAGATCAAACTCTTAACAGGTAACACTCAACGCGAACAAAAAAAAATCACAACAAAAGCCAAAAGGGATTTCCCAGATTATTACATCTTCTTTTCTGCAATTCTCCTCTTCTAATACTTATCCATTTCTTGATCATTGGAAGATGAAAAGTGAACCCATCGTTCTGACAGAATTTAGTTTAAAAATTCAAGTATAAGTTGAAAAAGAATTGAACAACAAGGTTGTAAAAGAGGAGAGAGAAAAAAAAGAAACATGGAAACACAAAGATTTACGTTTTAACTTCGGGTTTTACACCAACCAAACTTGTGAATCTCCACCCTGCCCATCATCAAGATTTTTCATCATTTTTTTCCTAAACAACAACTTGATCATCAACACTATCGACATGATGATGATCCTCATATTTCCATGATTTATAATGGTTATAATAATAATTCTTAAGGCGCAATTTAACCATGAATGATGATGATAATCAGTCATTCAGATTCAAATCAATGTCCTGGATTCTTATTACGTGAATGAAAGCGTAAAGAAAAAAAAAGATGGAGTAATAATGGAAATGGAAACACCACAAACCTACAGACAATTAATTCATCTCCTACATCGATACCTGATCATCATCTTCAACCTACTCTGTCAGAAATTCAACCAAATCATCAACAAATTGATCTCCCTTCATATTTTACCAATCAACAACATAAAAAAAACCAATTGGCCCAAACCAAATCAATTTCGTCGATCTCAAAAGTCACCAAATTAACTTTCCTGATCGCAGACAAATCAATACAACCACTTCCATCATCTTCCCAATGGAACCACTAGACTTATAACAAAATGGAGATTTCTATTGTTGCAATTAATTTGTCTAATTTCTCATCAATTCTAATCATATTAACGATTATTTTAATATTGGTGGAAAACCAGTTTATTCCTATGAAAAAGCTACACCGTTTATCCTGGAAAATCCCAGTTATATTTCAATAATAATATAACAATAACAATCAAAGAAAAGTATAAAATATCAGAGAGACAAGGTTGATTTAAGAAATTAAGTTGACTCTCTACTAAGAAAAGATTAATAGACTTAATTCTAATTACTTTTTTTATATGTATTAATTAGTAGATTGCTGATAATTAGGCAGAGAGAACTGCATTTGGACCTTGTGTTTGAACATCTAATATTTACATAACCACCACCGGTTTAATTGTAACTAATTGTACGTAAAATTAACTGAAAGACGTAAGTAAAATATATAACAAATTGAGACCAATTAATCAACATCTGATTGTAGAGTAACAATTTTCATCTACTATCAACACCAATTGTCATCTTTATACCATAATCAACAATTAGTGAATGAATATCAATTGTTAATCTACAATTAACTAAACACAATTAATAATCGATTAGTTGTTGTTTTTTGTAATATTAATTTTCAATCTACGTCAATTAACTGAATAATTGAACTTTTTTTCTTCTTTTTCTTTCAGACTGATTTAATTAATTGTCTCCGTTAATTGTTTGTACAATTTTTTTCTCTCAATTAATCACAATCAACATCTGATCATCAACAATAATCTTAACCATTTATATTAACAGAATCATGGTTGATTGACTTGTTACTTGATTTAAAAGTTTCTAGTAAATTGTTGTAACTTTTGTTTTTCTAATTTCCTTAGAAAATTTTAAATCACAATTAACTAAATTTTCAATGATTGCATGTTTAATTATGGTTAACCTTATCGTTAATTATTGATCAATTTAAAAAGCTTAACCAAATTCATGCCTCATCAAATTGTTTACAATCAAAATAATTAAGACACACGTCTAATTATTAGGTTACACTATTTGACAATCAATTGATGAACGTTAATCAATCTCAATTTAACCTTCAACAATTTATTTCATACTTGATCAAACTTAATTAAATTACTCTTTCAATTTCGTTCACAATCAAACTAATCATTTGGTTAAAATAATCATTATCAACTTTTTCAATTTTCTTCATCTTTTTTTTCAGACAAAATCAACCTTTATAATGACAACAATTAACATCACTTTTTTTCACAACTAATTGTAGTGATTAACAGTTAGCAGCATCATCAACATCATCATTTCAAATCAACAATCAATATTCAATTGTTAACTTTTTCTCATATCAAACATGAACGTTATTGTCTATTATAAATTGTCCTCTTAATTGTTTAATCATCAACGTAATCATCTTGTATTCCTTGATTATTATTATTTCACTAAACTAATCAAGGTTGACTGATAATTGGTGAAGGGCATCATCTTGATGATGATGATGATGATCATCGTAACAATCAATAATTAACATCATCAAACTGACTAAATGTTTTACTTTTACAATGATAATCAATTGTTGGATAAAAGCAAAATAATCAGATTTAAATGAATCCAAAGTAATTACAAACAATTAAAACCAAACTAACCAATAGATTAATAAACATAATTTAACTATTGATTAGTCGATCATTTGTTTTAATTGTAAACAATCAACAATTAAACCAAAATAAATAATCATAAGTAAATAAAACAATCTGATATCATAATGATCGCTAATTAAATTGTGGTATGCACTCAATCAACCATTCAACTTGAAATCAAAACCAACTTACATAATTGTAATTACAATAATCGAAACAATTATAAACTCTCAAAAAAAAAAAATTCATCGATATCTAATCAATCAGATTAGATATGAATTCATCTCATGACTAAATTGAATGAAAAATATTGATGATGATGCTGATGATTAGTATTAATGACGATAATCAATGAATGATGATCAATCCTTTTCCTCTGTCTATTTAATTGTGAGTCCAATTGTTGCTTGAAATGATCAATAATTAACCTTAATCACTAGGAAAAAGAGAGAAAGAGAGAAAGAGTAAAATAAGAGTATTAGATTAATATGATTAGTTAATCATCAAGGTTAATGAAAAAATGAGTGAAAAAATCAAAGGATGAGAAGATGATGATTCTCATCATCATCATCATTATCATCATGTTATCATCATTATTAGTCACGTGTAAGGAAAACCCTGAATACGTCATGAATTTTATACTATCTGTAAATATCATAGGAAACTTAATTCAGTTTAATATTAATAGTGTAATTAGTATAATTATCGTGTTCAAATGATAATGATAATAATCATTTGTTATCATGATAACAGGTAACACGTATTAATTTGAGGAACCATAATGTTTAAAGTTAATTGTTTGATACCTTTTGTTACCCTGGTTAACAACGAAAGTTAATTACAATTTGATTGTACAATTAAATCATATATCTAAAAGGGAGAGAGAGAGAGAAATGAAAAAGTTTAGTTAATTGAATCAAATGATGAGAAAGTTTTTCAAATCTTGTTAATTATTATACATAAATATTGAACTAGTTTATGTATCTAATTGTCAAAAACTTTAACAATTTAATTAACTGATATTTTACAAAATATTAAAGTTAATGATTAAGGTTGATGGATTAATGATAAATCATTTACGTTGATAACTGTTGATATTTTTGCTTTGAAAATATTAACAGTTACAATTTTTTCAAGTTGACACATTAAATTTATGATGGTTAATCAAATTGTCTTCAATAATTAAGACAAAACTTATTAAATTGTAACTTAATAGTTACACTAGTTTTAAGAAATTGTTGTTTATGTCTCTATTATTGAGCCAATGCAATCAAGAAAAGTTAATATGCCTCAAAATGATAATAGTTAATCAAATATAATTACCAAGATAATTAAATCGTAAATGAATTTATCTTTCAATCCAATGATTAACTTGATACGTAGACGATTCTTAAAAGTAGGGCTAATGTACCGTTATTATTATCGTTGATATTTGTTAATTGATAGTCCAAAAATGAGACGGGAAAATTAAATCGTCATAATCGAGAAGGTTACAAAGGACAATAGAAGTTGATAATCAAAGTTAATCAACTTGAATCAACATGTGTAAACAGGATTGAAGCAGCAATTTAGTTATAATATCATCTCGTTGTCATATGTAGTTTTAATTGTGTCGTGTTGTTGTTGTTGTGTTGGAAGAGAAATGCGAATGATGATAAATGAGAAGGGTAAAGAGGGAGAAAGAGAGAGAGAGAGAGAGAGAGAGAGAGAGATAAGATATTATAAAGACAGAGAAGATAAAGTTTATCGAAAGACTTTTTCGTCTACGTCGTTATTAGGCCAGTCGCTTACGACGAAACTAAAATTTTCTCTTTCTTTTTTCTTCTCTGTCTAATTTTGTTTTTCTATCATATAATATATACGATATTAGCACGTTATTTTGTGGTGATGGATGATAAGGATGATCCATCTCTTTCTTTTCCTCTTTCTTGAAGAACAGAAAAAAATGAGACAATCCCATGACAAAATTACCTTTTCTTGATTACTCTTCATTTCCATGTGTACATATATCGTTGATCATTAATTATTTTACATTGTAATTAAGTCTCTCTAATTAATCTGAGATCAAACAAGTATATTCGTTAACATTGAATGACAAAATTGAGGAAAAATTAATTGTTATTTTCTGATAGCAATTGCACCAACTATTATCAGGTCTTACTATTAATATATTATCACTTTTTTCATGTATATAAATATAATACTTACTATATGATTGTTACTTAATTTGTGACTATTTTACAACAATAACAATTAACTTACTCTTCATTTACCTTGTTTTGTTAATTTCCTTGATTCCTGAATACACATTCAGTTGATTGTCAAAGTTTTCTGTTAATAAATTGTCACCATATTCATTCAGTGTAATCGATGGTTTTTTGTTGTTATTGTTGTGCCATTGTGTCAATTGGGTAAACGATTAATTCATCATCATTTCTGTTGAACAACAAGAAAAAAAATCACAAAAAGAAAACAATTAATTTTTTCATAATCATTTACCTTTGGATCGTTTTATCCTCATCATTTTTTTTTCTTTGGCCTTTCATCATCGACTTTACCTTTAGGACATTAAGTTTATCGAAATTCGTGCTTGTATATGTGTAAGTGTATTACAGCTTACAGAGTGTCTACCTTACCAGGTAACCCTGAGAAAAGAAGAAAGAGAAAAAGAAGAGAGGAAGCTCGAGAGAGGGAGAAAGAGAAAATACCTTTACATGTAAAAGTTTTTTTTCCTTATATTAATTTGCTCCCTTATCATCATCGTCTTTCTTTATTCTCTTTCTCCTCTTTTTTCTTGCTCCTTCTACTTCTTGATTGTTGGTCGATTGCCTGTGTGTGTATACTAAGGTAAAAAAAGAGAGAGAGAGTGAGCAAAAGAAAAATTAAAAGAGGGAGAAAGTGAGAGAGTGAGTTTCTCATCATCATCATCTTTCTGTACTCTCAAAACTAACCATACAACATAAGCACATCAGCACCGATAATATTACCTGTTGAATCCTGAATGTGAACATTATAACAGGAATTATAAGTTTTACCGTTTGTATTACGAAAAGCCGATTATCAATGAACCAAAATACCAACACGAGAAAGTCCATTTTATAAGTTTGTGTCTTCACGTTACGTCAACGATTTCGTCAACAATCAGCAATTAACAAATTGTTATCCATCCATTGGGTGAGAAAAAGAGAGAGAAAGAGATAGAGACAAACAGAGTGAGTGTCGATTCTTATCTTCATATGTCATCACATGAAACATTCACCGATCATCTTGATCCACTAGTTAATTATTAACGTGTACGTGTTTGTTTGTGTGTGTGTGTGTTTGCTGGTGAGTTGACTTGCTGTTTAAACCACTCAAATGATCTGGATTAATTGTAACCAGTGTAAGTGTTTCATCATTAACTGTGTTTCTACTTAAATCAACAGCACAGCGAAAAGTGTTTGCATGATTACGTGTCGATAAACAAATCATAACATTGGCACTAATTCAAATTGTTGTTTAATCCTTCCCATCACTTGTAACGATTGTTTCAATTAATCTGCTACTACGATCACACGTCTAGTGGATGTAAGATCAACACGATACAAACATCGGGAAAATCAAAAACGGGAATCAGTTAATTGTGGTTTTCCATTTGTAATTTCAGATTGTTGTTTTCACTGTGATTCTGGTTTTCTCGTTTATTCAGTGGTGGGTTTTGTCTTCATCTTTGTGGATTTTTTTTTCTCTTGTATGATTGAGAGGCTTTTGTACCTTGGCTACTCGCTCAACTTGATCTTCCTTTGATTTCGTGAGTGGAATTTTCGTTTTGTGAGTGAGTGTTAATTATATCACTTTTGATGATTTTCTTTTGTTGATTTTTGTTTGTCTCTACATTGTAACAACCATTTTGAGTTTAATTTTCCGTCAAATGTCGTACGAGGAGAAGAAAGTTTTCTGCACCAATGATCCAAATTCTGGTGGCCTAATGTTAAGTCAACCAAATTGTTTGTCATCTTCCGTTTTAACCTCAGGCCTGGGAGTATCTGGAGCATCAGCAACTCCCGTTAATGATTCTGGAAATGGTCCCAATGATCAGTATTCACCATATGACAATTCAGATGGATTAATGAATTTAATTAACTCTGAACTTTCACCAGTTTCGGTTTCCTTGTCATCGCCAACCTCAAATTCAGTCCTTGTATCACCAGTGCAACAACAACAACCTCAATCAATGGTTAATCCATCATCAAGAATCTGTGATCAGTTGATACTCTCAATGGAGTGTTCACCAAATTCAAATACATCGACCATGACTCGATTACATTCAACTCACCCTCAACATCAACATCAAGTTCAACACCAACACCAACACCATCATCCTCAACAACAACAACAACCTCATCAACAGCATCTTCAACATCCACACCAACAACAACACCATCAGCAGCATCAGAACCTTCACCCTCATCACCATCACTTGTCACCACCTTCATCAGGTCAACACCAATCTCCATCACCGTTACAATCATCAAGTGGATTAGGATCACCAGTGACCACATCATTATTTTATCGTTTAACTGACCAACATCCGAAAAAGACAAAGATTGAAATTCAACTTGATAATGGATCAACAGGTATATCTTTGGGTCCCATGGAAACAGATGATAATTCAAGTAATTATCTCATCTTTTTTTTTACATTTTCTTTTCCTCCTCTTCACCAAATTGATCTCACCTAACCTTCTCTCTCTCTCTCTCTTCCGCTGTCTTTTTCTATCGTCATTACCTTTGTCAATGATTCTCCCTCCATTTCTTTTTTTTTGTCTTTATACCGTCGCCCTTATTTTGCACTATCAGTCAGTTAATTTTCCTAATAACTAGATAACTAATTATCTAGAAACTGTAACTTACAATAATCCCTCTGTAACTCAAAGCATTGAGAGAGCGAGAAAGAGATACAGTGATGTCAAACACTGATTGTCAAAAAAAATGATGATAATGATCCTCAGGTAATGACATGAGAATCGTTGGAATCAAGGAATGTTAATGATTAAATCACTAAAGGTGTGTATACAGAAATCATATCAGCTTAAAAATATTGGAAACTCTGGTTGGATTAGTAATAGTAGCGGGATTTATATGATTGTGAGCCAATAGAAAATCCAAGTTTAGAAGCCAATGTAAGTTAATTGTTAAGATTATCTAGAAGTAAATCTTTGAATATACAGAAAATGAGAGAGAAAGAGAACAATTAGAAACTCTGATTTATCAATGGAAATAAAATCTATGTTAAAAGAGATAAGGAATCAGAGCAGAATTGGAATACAAAATAAACACCAAAAAGGGAAAAGATGAAGAGAGAGAGAGAGAGAGGAAAAATAGAATCGAGGTAATAAAAAGTGAGAGAATTTAGAAAAAACCAAAAATACCTAAATTAAAGGAGAAAACTTCCTTGTCCTTTCTTACCAAAACAACAATATAAAAATACATGTAAAGAAATGTTTATATTTATATTATGTTGATGAAGAAATGATTAGTGGATGATTAGGATTAGAGAGAAAGTGGTTATTATTTCAATTGTATGAATAGTAGTTGGTAAGTTACTGTTGTTGTTGTTGTTGAAAGGAAAGGTAAGTGTGACCTTTTCAATTAAGGTCACTTGGATATGGAATGAAAATTGTTGAATCCAAAATGTTGAAGAGAAGAAAAAAAAACAGGACAAGAATTAATATATAATCTAATTGAGAGAAAGAAAAATATATTAATATAAATATATAAGAAAAGAAATTTGATTCGCCATTTTGAATGAAGAAATTTGTTAAATTGTTATAAGATGAAGTGGAGGCCCTGACAATCAAAAATGGACAATCAAATTGAAAAACATGTTACACTAGACGTAAATAAACAGGTAGAATTCACGTCAATTGTCACAATTTTTGTTTTACCTTCAACATTAAATCAACCATCCATCACCCTTATTCCAGCATTAAGGTGATGATGATGATGATGATGATGATGATGATGATGATAATCATTATAATTCAGCTAATAGAATAGAAAAACCAATCTGTCAATATTATCTCTTGATATTTTCTTACCTTATTCTTCCTTGAATTGTTCAGCTTTTTCTTTAACCATTATTATTATCCCAAGTCATTTGATTCCTTTTTAATTTCACTTCGGATTTAACCTTCTCTTTAATTGTTTTAAATTGATGGATAATCTCTATTATCTTATCATCATTATCCTTCCATCAAATTTGATTGTCGGCTTATTAATCGGGTCTTCCTTGTGTCCCTTTATTAGGATCCTATCTGAGAATTGTAGAAGAACCAACAAACCGAATCAGGTACCGGTACAAAAGCGAAAAAGGATCTCATGGTGGATTAACGGGAGAAAACAGTTCACAGAATAAGAAAACATATCCAACAGTTAAGGTAAGAAAAAAGAGAGAGAGAGAGAAAATTGAACGAATTAAAATATTAGAAACAAAAAAAAAAGAAAAGAGAAGAAAATTCTAGTAGATTATTTTAGAAGAGAATAAAAAAAATGTTCTTTTCTTTTGTAATTTTGTTTTTCTTTTTTTCTTTTTGTTTCTAATTTTTGTTTTTCTTTTCTACAACAAATTGTGTTACCTTTTAAAGCTTAAAAATTACCGATCATCGAACCAAGTCCACATTAAGGCCAGTCTTTATACGAATGATTCAACACCTAAACTTCATGTACACAAATTAATGGGAAAACATTGTAACGAAAATGGTTTTTGTATCTTACCTCTTGGAGACAATAATCAAGCAGTGTGAGTAATCCGATCATCTCTTTGTTTCATTTTCCCTCCAATTAATTTGCAAATTGTGATTATCTTCAGTTAGAAAAGAATTAAAGTTGATCTTCTTGTCGATGATGATATAAAATTGTGAAGAAAAAAGAAAAAAAAATTTCAAAATGGACAATATAAAAAAAGTGACCATCATGTAAACAACAACAATCCATCATAATTAAGTTACCATAATTATCCTAATCAAGAAGATGAAATTGTAACCACCATCACATCATCAATTACCTTTCTAATTACGATAGTTTTAATTGTCTACCTGTGATTACCTTTAAAGAGATTAATTAAATTGAAGGAAAGAGAATCTCTTTTATTTTATTTTATTTTTCTCTCTTCTTTCTGTGTGTTAACCAGATAGAGAAAAGAAAACAGGAAAGAGTAGGCCGATTGATAGAAGTTCTTGTGGAACCGGTTGATTAAATTTCTTTCACTGATTGTGAGAAGAATTAAGAAGAGACCTTTAAATTATACGAGTTTAATTTCTATTCGTAATTTTTATCTCTCTCTCTTTCTCTCTCGAATATCAACTTTAAGGAACCAACTTGATGCTCGTTTCAAGGTTAACGGTTTCAACTTTTGTATTGACTCAAAGATGATGTTGATTCTTAACCATCATCGCCATCGATTTATTATCATCACTAGTCTCTGTTAACGGATTTCGATTCATTAATTATGGTAATTAACTTTTTGTTTCTCTCTTCCTATTTATTCAGATTCCAAAATTTAGGAATTCTATTTGTGGGTAAAAAGGAAGTTCCTGAAATACTTTATCAACGGAAATTGGAAGAGCATAAATTGATATGTGCTCTAAGTGATAGGTCACAATTATCGGGTAAGAATTTGATAATTATGTTAACCAAAGTGAGATTTTTAAAAATTGAATTTTCTTTTTTGTTTCTCTCTCACTCTCTCTCTCTCTCCGTTTTAGAATCTGATCGGGAGCGACTTCGAGAAGAGGCTGATCGTGAGGCGAAACGGATTAATCTTAATTGTGTTAAAATTTGTTTCCAAGCATTTGATCAAAGCCAAGGGATGAATTTTCCTATTTGTGATGCCGTTTTTTCAAGACCAATAGCTAATCAAAGTACGTCGACGATCAAAACTACAATCAATTACTTTTAATTGTTGTCATTTTGTTATCTCATTGATTGTGATAATTATCATTATTCAATTGTAATAGTAATTGTTTTCACGATTATTTTATTTTTCTCTTAATTGTTTTTTTTTATTCTTTTTTTCTGGTTTGTTATTAGAATCTCCCGATTCTGGAGAATTGAAAATTGTTCGAATGGACAAATATTCGGGTGTTTGTACAGGTAATGAGGAAGTTTTTCTTCTCTGTGAAAAGGTAAATAAGAAAGAGATCAAAATTCGTTTCTTCGAGACGGACATGGACGGAAATCAAACTTGGGAATCATTTGCCTCTTTCACGGAGGCCGATGTTCACCATCAAGTGGCCATAGTTTTCCGAACTCCACCCTATCATAATACCAATATTGATCGATCGGTTCAAGTTTATGCTCAATTATATCGTCCAAAAGATGGTGAATACTCGGAACCAAGGCCATTTACCTACAAACCTAAACCAGTAGATCAAGAAGGTGTTGAACGGAAGCGGAAAAAAATGTCCACACATTTTAATTCAGCATTTCCAATGCTTGGGGGTAACATAATTGTTCCCGGAGGATCAATTGGACCCCAATCATCAACGGGAAATAATAATATCGATGGAGGTATAAACGTTATCCTAAACAATACCAATAACGTTAATAATAATAACAATAGTAATAATAATAATTGTGATAATCGAGGTGATAATCAAAGAAATATGAATGACCGAAGGTCAAGCATTGAGAGTAACAATTTATTGGGAGGTGATAATAATAATAATGGATCTGGTAATAATAATGGACGACGAGTGATTGGTAATGGTGGTGTTGTTGTCGATGATGACGATAGTGACCAATACGTTGGATATACTGGTAATGGAAGAAGTTATTTCCTCTCTTCGTCAATGTCAACCCAAGGTCCAAATAACTCGTCAACCGAACCAACCGATGTCAACTATTATGGTGCTAATTAACTGGAAACAAAAGAAAATGCTGAAAGATAATTAAAAGAGAAAAGAGAAAGACAAAAGTAAGAGAAATTATTTATTACCATTTCTTATTTATCATCATCATGATTATCGTCATGATTTTTTTTTCAAGAGAATTAAAAAAAAATGAAATTTTCTATTCTCAAAATCATGATAACCTTGAGGTTCCTCCAAACTAATTGCACGGTCAACACGAAATTTATTACATAGTCCATTTGAATATTTAGACAATTTAATTTGGACAATTTGATTGAGAGACGAAGAGAGAAGAAAAATTAATCACTTCGAATATCAGTCTGGTTATGAAAGAGAAGTAAAAAAAATACAAATATGTCAACAATACGAATCAAATTAATCATTTGATTGTCCATTTGATTAACGACTTTGGTGATTAAATAATCACATCAACTTATTTAAAAAAGAAAAATATAATTAATTGAATAATCAAAATCAGCTGAATCAATTTTTTCGCTTGGCCTCTTGTCAAAAAGATTTAGAAAATTATAATAAACAAAGTCAATCAGAGGGTGAGATTGGTTAATTAGTTGATTGTTCGAAAATCATTACAATTATTATACTTTTTTTTCTTATTGTTTTAAGGTGAGTTGACGTTATTAATTAATATTATTTATCATTTCATGAAATCTTATTTTCTTTTTTTCTCCATCATCATAATCATCGTCATTATTATTATAATCAGTCAACTTTGAAGGAAATGAGAGAGAATTAATAATCAACTTAAATAGGAAGGTCAAGAACGCAATTAAAATGCCAATTAGAAAATGAATTAAATGGAGGAATGAGGAAAGAGATTAATATATAATATATAATATGGAAAAAGGCTTTTAAAGAAGAGAGAGAGAGAGAGAGAGATCATGTTCTTATAATTTCAAGATGATGATGATGATGATGATCAATACATTTTTCTCTATGAAAACAAAAAGATAGCATTTTTGATTAAACTCTAAGCAATTGAATTGAATTCATAATGAGTGAAAATGTTAATGGACACTTATTAAAATGAAATTTTGATAATGTCTGTCACAGAAAATAATGAAAGAGAGAGAGAGTGATGAGCTGGATCTCTGGGATTAAGGGGAAGATGAATCACGATGTTAACGTTTTTAACCAACTGAGAATAGTTTCATATGCTTTTTTGCGTTTAGCGTGTTGCTGCTCTTCGAGGCCCATTATAAAGAGCACTTTGCTTTGGCATTCGAGTGTTGCTTCCTCCTTCCTTTGTGGATCTGCATCATTTTCGGTTGTTTTTTGTAAGAGATTTGCTACATTAGCCGATAAGCTTAATAAATCGTCGACTGAAGAGTGTATCAAATTGGCCAGTCTATTTACATCCAATTCTGGAAAATTTTCTGATCCATATATTGCTTTAAGATTTGTATTATGAAATTCTGATGATTCAGCTGCACTTTTCTCTTTACATGTGAAAGTACTTGATGTGGCTTGAACTCGAGTTGCTGATGATGAGCCAGTGGACGAAGTAGATGGAAGAGATTGTATTTTAACTTGAGGATTTAATGGCAGGACAGTTACCATAGCGGATTTTTTAATCACCAAACCATAAAGTTCATGTGGATATTTTCCTCTTGGTTTTAGTTTGAGAATTTCAAATGCTTTCATATTTGCTGTTCCTTTTACTACTGGTAAGACGTAAGCTCGATAGGCTTCAGGTTTATAATCGCAGATTGCATATCGATCTCGATTAATTAAATAAGTGGCAAAGTTTCCAAAGATTCTTTTATCTTCTGATGTTTCCCGTGGAAGTATTTGGAAAATGATTATTTTAATATTTGGCTTATGCTTGGCAACATTAAGACACTGTTCACATTCAACGGTGTTCACTCTGCCCGTGAACTTGAGCGTTAATGGTAAATATTTTTTGACTTCGGGTCGATCTGATCTAATCACATGATATTTAAATTCAAAATCTCCAAAAGTAGTTATAAATATACCAGTCATTGAATTGTTTGGTTTACGAGGAAATAGATCAGCATCAGGATCGGATTCTGATGAATCAAGATCGACAACATTACTGGCTGACATTTTTAGCTTTTTAGGTGAAAGCTTTGCACTGGCAGGATTATTTGAAATGGGTTTTAATTGGTTTGTTGTTGTTTTTGTTAATGATGAAGATGATAAACTTTTTTGTTTGATTACTTTTGATGATGATGATGATGATGATCTTGATGGTGATGGTGATGGCGATGGTGATGTTAATGATGAGGCACGTTGTTGTTTCTTTAATACATTTTGTTTGGATGATTGTTTTGAAGCATTTTGATCAACTTCTGGTAATGTCCGTTTACGGCTAGTTGACTTGGTGTTTGCACTTTTTTCAGGTTCACCTTCATTAGAATCAGATGAAATATCATCAGTTAATTGAGAAATTGATTGAATAAGTTGAGGTTTTTGTTTCTTAATACTTTGTTGATTAGTAACTGGATCAGTAAGAAAGGGAATATCTTCCGTTGAAGCACCAATATAAGAACCATAGCGATTGGCAGGCATTAGTTTGAACGTTGTCTCAAGGCCACTTTTAATCTTCTCCAGTGTTGCTGGTGATGTCCCTCTATTGGATGGTGAAGGGCTTTTAATGTTATTCGAATTTACAGAATCAATTAGATCTGGAGAAAAGGATGAAGAGATTTCTGAAAAAACTGGTGAATCAGAGATGACATGAGTATGATTACTTTCCCCACTAATTTCTCCTTCCTCCAGTGGTGGTTTTTTTACCAATACACCTAATAGTAGATTATCCTCTCTTGGACACTTTTCAAGATTAAGTCGATTTGTGATTGGTAAAAATGCTGGAGGCTCGTTTTCCTTAGGCAAGGGTAATATGTATAATTCTTTGTATATTTCGCACCTTAACTTGGTTTGAGTGAAATTTTTCTTCTCAATTAGATGTTGATATAATCTTTCGGTAGGATTTTCGTCTTCAATATCTTCAGGAATTAATTTGAAAACAATTATGTTTGTTTGAAATTCTGTAGATTCTTTTGTACAACCAAGTAGATTGAAAAAGTCATCAGGGGTACATTTCTCGGTGAAAACAAGTGTCTTAGGAATATGCTAAAGTTAAAGAAAAAGAACAGAGAAAGAAAGAGAGAGAGAGAGACAAGATTAGAATACATATAATATCCTCCAATAGGTGAACACAACTATATAAATCTTTACCTCAATTGCAACAAATAGATCATTAGAAAGTGGTAAGGCAGCAACGTTGAATCCAACAAGAGGAGTATCCAGTCGACCGTGATAACAAGGTCTATCTGTTATTACCTGACGTTTAGCTGTAAAAGAAAAGAAAAAAGATTTTAAAAAAAAGAAAATAAAATAGAAATTGGGTAAATAGTGAAAGTGGAGGGAAAAAAGAGACTGAGGAAAAGATCTTCTGGCCTAAGACACAAGAAAGTGAAAACAATAGGGATAATGATAATGAGAAGAAGAGAAAACAGGTTGGGTTTCAAAATAGAAAAGGAAAATAAACCAAAAGAGCCTATGGAAAAGAGAGATAGAAAAAGAGAGAACAAAAGTGATAGCAAGACTTACCAGAACGAGATTTATCTAAAAAGTGATCAAGCAAATGGTTTGGAAGATCTTCGTCATCACTCTCAACATCAGAGAATTTTATCTCTTTGGAACAACCAAAACATTGCTTATATTTAAATAGAGAAATGAGTAAATTAACATTAAATTAAAAGTATAAATAATAAAGGATGAGAGAGAAAGAGAGTCGGAAAATGGCTAAACAATGAAGACACAAGTTGATTTTGGATTAACCAAAGTAATCCAATGGTTAGAGGTAGAAAATGAAACAACCAGAAGGAGAAAAGAATTGGAAATCGGTTTCTTATTTCAGAAACATAATTTTCTCAGCATGAGAGAAAAATCGGAGAGACACTTTTAAGGTAAAAGAAAAATATGAGGAGATTAAGGGAAAATCAAGGAAAAAGGAGGTAAAAAACAGGGGAGGAAGGAGGAAGATCGGAAGAAGAGGACAATATTTAAAAAGAAATTGAGACAAAAAAAGAGCAACAAGAAAAGCAAAGAGTAGTAACTCCTTACTCTTTGAAAGAAAAGTGTTTTACTTACATAATTGATGGAATCGTCAGGTAAAAAGGAAGATGATTGTTGTTCCATCGTCCAAATTATTCTGTTGATTAAGCAAAAAAAAACTAGAACACGGAACAATTTAAACAACAATTAAAGAAAGAGATTAAATTAAAATGAGAAGTAGTTTATTGTCTGAACACTTTTCTCTGACTAACCAACACTAACCAAAGAACAAAAAGAAAGAGAAAAAGAAACTGTTACCATGGTTACTACCTTGGAACAGTTTTTCTATTTTCTTTTTTTTTCTTTGTTTTTCTTACAGTTTTTGATTATTTTCTTAATTATTTTCTCATTTGTTGATCAATTTTAATTGTTTCTCTTTCACTTTGATTAAATTAATCTTTTTCCATCTTCCATCATTGCTAATTTCAAGCTAAATTTTATTTATTTTTCCATCACTGTACAAATGGTTAGTTAATTGTGTTCAATGTGATCATTTCTGTTTTCTATTATTGTTTGAGATTCAAATTCAATTTAATTTGGTTGATATTAAGTTAACTCTATATTTTGATTTTGATTTTGATTTTGATTTTGATTTTCTCAATTAAATTATGTCCGTGCTTGGATAATTAGTTGTTTAATTGATTGAGATGGTCTCTTGTGCCATTTAAATTGTTTTTTGGGTTATTGGGTTGATTAAGATTTTGTTTCTTTTTGTAATTTATTAATGTTTATTTTTTTTTCTTTTTCTTTTTCTTTTTTAGCGCCATTTGGAATTGAACCTTTATTATCATTTGGTTCATTTTGTTAATTGTACTCTTAATATTTTCCACCGACCTTGTATTTGTGGATAATAATCTTCTGTAGATAATTATTATGGTAAAAAGTTCATCTGGATGATCCCAAGGGAAACAAATAGAGAGACATAATATTGAAACAATCTCTTCCACCCAATAAGTTTGATCGATTTTAGATTATTCTAGTCACCCAGCTTTAAATGTATATTTTTTTTCATGGAAAATGAAACTTACTCTGTTGAACAGTGAATCATTTGCTGTTTCAGTGGTGACCCAATCCAAATATTTGTCCGAATTGCGAGAAAAACTCACATTGCCCTGTTACTGTTTCCCCTGAAAACGTGATCTCTTCACTCAATGTCACCAAAATGATACCAATTCCAAGTGTAAATTCCAGATCAACAATCAATGGCAAACAATTTACCAAGAGGCAACCTTTTCAATGATTCCAAGTTGTTATTGTTGTAATTAAGTTACCTTCCAGTTTCAATCTTCGTTATTGCTGATACCTGTTACCATATTTTTTAAATCCAATACATTTAGATGATCAAGTTTCTCGTTAATCATGAAAACCTGTTGTAATTACCTGATTCTCGTAAAGCCATGTGATTTATACGGTTGACTAAATGTGACTCCGTTGGTAATAATAATCCTCCTGCTAATCAAGAGATAAAAACTATTGGCAATTAAAAGTACAATCAACTCACGGAAGTGCAAGATAGAAGATAACAAAAAAGTGCCCATCAAGTGATATCACCCACTGAAATATTTTTAAACATTCGCTAATTGTTTGGTTATCCTTTTAAACAATTTATATATATATATAATCAACTGATTACCTTTTGATTCATTTGCATATCTAAAATTATCCTATTATGTATAATATCAACCTCTAATCCTAACAAACAAAAACATACAATCAAATGTTAACTGTTCACTTCGAGCATCATCAAAATCATCATGTTAATCACCTCAATCATTATCATGATAACTAGTATTTATTACAATTGTTTTTTAAACCAAAAAATCAAAATAACCAACTAAAACTCTGATAGTTATTGTCTTGGTGAAAAAAAAATAAAAATGAGTTTATTTTCAACTCGATTAACATTCATGTTATTTTCAACGTAAAATGAATCAATCGAAATTTAGTTGATTACAATTAGTTAACTATTATAACTCCAGTAGTTTTTTTGTATAAATCGAGTTGAATTGTTTCGAGTCTTGAATTATCTCGACCTCGTTCAACATTAGTCGAAGTGTTGAATTGTTCTCGTTGTTGTGGATGAATGAAAAGACGAGAGAAACCAAAGATCAGAAAAGCAACGAAAATGAATCCAAATATTCCGATGAGAATGTAGAAATCTATTGATAGAAGAAGAGATTTTGATTCGATTTAATCGTAGAAAAGTTTCTAATTGTTATTGATTGATAAACTCACGTGGTGATTTGGGGGAGAGAGCGAATTTAACTTTCTGCCAGAAAGAAAGTTTTGGTTGATTAGTTGGCTCCTTTTCTGGTTTATCGTCTTTTGGACTTTCGGGTGATTCAGTTTTAGGCTCTGAAGGATCTTCGGGTTTTGATGTTTCAGGTTCGGGTTCGGGTTGTGACTCAGTTTGGGGTTCGGGTTCTGATGGATCTTCGGGTTTTGATGTTTCAGGTTCGGGTTCGGGTTGTGACTCAGTTTGGGGTTCGGGTTCTGATGGATCTTCGGGTTTTGGAGTTTCAGGTTTTACTTCAGGTTCTGGTTGAGGGTCGGGTTGAGGTTCAGATGGATCATTAGGTTTTGATGTTTCAGATTCGGGTTGAGGTTCTGATGGATTATCGGACTTTGGTTCTGATTCTGGTTCTGGTTTAGTTTCGGGTTTTGACGAATCGTCGGGTTTTGGAGTTTCAGGTTTTACTTCAGGTTCTGGTTGTGATTCTGGTTCTGATTTAGTCTCGGGTTCTGATGAACCGTCGGGTTTAGTTTCGGGTTCAGGTTGTGATGGGTCATCGGATTTTGATTCTGGTTTTGTTTCTGGCTCTGATGGATCATTAGGTTTTGATGATTCAGATTCGGGTTGTGATTCTGGTTGAGGCTCTGATGGATTATCGGACTTTGTTTCTGATTCTGGTTCTGATTTAGTCTCGGGTTCTGATGAACCGTCGGGTTTTACTTCAGGTTCTGGTTTAGGCTCAGTTTGTGGTTCGAGGTCTGATTCTGATTTAGTTTCGGGTTCTGACGAGTCGTTAGGTTTGACTTCGGGTTCTGGTTGAGGTTCTGATGGATCATCAGATTTTGATGTTTCAGGTTCGGGTTGTGGCTGTGAGGGGTCAGAGTTTTTCTGATCGTTATCAGTTGATTGCTTAGAATCATCCGAAGTTGATTTGTTTTGATCACTTTGGTCACTTTTAGGTTGATCTTGACCATCGGCATTTGGATTAACTTGATCGTCTACTTTAGGCTGAGATTGGTCATCACTAGTTTCTGACTTTAATTGATCATCAGCTGATTGGTCATCGGACTTTTCCTTAGACGATTCGTCAGCTGTCACATCAGATTTTGATTGGTCATCAGTTTTAACTTGATCATCGACTTTTGGTTCAACATTTTCACCACTAGATTGATCTGGATCGTCACTTTTAACCAAATTAGGAACAACTGATCAACAATCAATGAGAAAAAAACAATTAAAACTAAATCGTTGAACAGATTTGAATAGATTTCGAATCAAGAAACAAAAATTAAACAAAACACATAACCAATTAATCAACAATTAACTAACCACTTACCTAGAAAAATAGTTAAACAAAGAGCAAAGTAAAAAGTTAATTTCATTATGGTTAATTGTTAGTAAGTCAATTAGACTGAGAAAAAAGTTTATAGCACTTGGAATTTATAATTAATAACTGTACTCGAAAACGAGTTAATTGTAACAATCAAGTATAATTTATATATTTGATTTCGTTCAGTGTTTAGTTCATTAATTAATAGGTGTAATTACCTGTGATCTAATCAGTGAGCCATTTGAAGATTTAATCAATCTAGTGAATCAACAATGAAAAACTTGAATAATCACAATTAAAAATAAAATGACATCGTATTAATAACTTATTATGATTTAGGTCGAAACAATTAACAATTAATTTTCTCATCGATTTTAATTACATTTCCTTTTCGTCATTATTTATATTTATGGTCCAAATGGTGATGACCGTTAATCAGTTAATTGTAATAGAGAATAAAAATATATTCGTATCGATGATTTAATCTATTGAGAAAATCACCGATGCTGGTTAATTGTAATTCCATTTTAAATTGTGATTGTACTTTTTTTTGTGATTTATTATTTCACCAAATAACGCAAGGGGTAAACAATTATGATAATAATGATGTAAACAAAAAGATGTGTAATTAACAAAAATTTTAGTAAAAATAAGTACCAATGATTTAACAAGTTGATTGTTGATTGTTGAAGGATGACGACGACGACGATGATGATGATGATGATGATGATGATGGATTAATTAGTTAATTTCTACAGGTTTGAATCTTCTTGTTTGACTGGAGATGTTGGTAAATCGGTTAATTGTTGGGATATTTTTCTTGGTGTTTTTCCGGTTGGTGAATCGATTACTAATTGACGGGTGAGCTTTTGTAAGTCCATTTTTCGATGGCGATTTTCTCGACGAAATTCACTTCGCATATTGTTTAACATGGAATGACATTGACTTGAATATTCATCGACTTCCACGGCGAATGTGTTAATCATCTCTTGTTCTTCATTCAATCTTGATTCCACTTGTTTACGAAATTCATCGAGAAGCAAATATCCAACTTCGACTGGTTGCAAATCTTTCCGTGAATGTTGTTAATTTATCTCGCAATTGCTTGGCATTGTTTTCGATTCGATCTTGAAGCTCTTCCATTCTACATTCGACCATCCGATCGAAATTTTGATCTTGAATATCGAGGTTCGATTGAAGTTGTTCGATTACTTTCTTGTTATTTGCTTCGTTGTTCTTTAATTTGGACACTTTTTTGAACAAAATGGTTGCATCTTTAGATGAATTCTCAGCAAAAGATAAAATTCTCTGCATTTTTTTCGTTTTATTTTCCAATTCTTCTTCCTTCTCCTTAAGGATTCTCTTCGTTCCCTGAAGATCTTTATTAACTCTTTCCATCTCTTGAATTTGAGCAGCAATTTGACCGTGAATTTCCTCAATCATTTTATCGTGTTTAGCGACTTTGTCAATCATCGTATTGTAATCGTCACCATCTAAATAAATTCCTTCTTTGTTGATACAATTTCTCAAATCTTTTTGTAATTTAGAAATTTTTTCAGCATAGTCACGTAAAAATGCCTTCTTATTGATCCTTTTATTTGCCTCGGGCTTATTGGTGATTCGTTTTGCTCTTTGAGCATATTCCAGGGTAGATGCAGTATCTTCACAATCATCTATCGATGGTGAAATGGTGGCAACAATTGAGGTTCTCGTTTTACCACCAAGAGAATCTTGAAGAAGACGTGTAAGCTTTGATTCTCTATAAGGTATGTGAGCAGTTGACTTATTAACTAAACAATTGATTACTCTTCCAAGTGATAGAAGACTTTGATTGATACAAGTTGCTTCTCTTGCTCTTCTATCAACAGCTCCAGAACGGGAGAGACTTTCACTTCCAGCTAAATCGACAAGATTCAATTTACCAATGCGAACCATTTCATCTCCATTGGCCGTTTCATCGGTAACATAAACTGTAATCGTGAAAATGGTATGACTTCGTGAGGAACAAGCATTTAACAGAGTGGCTGCTGTTTGACGTTTAGCTGATCCTTTTTGTAACAATTTATAAACCTCATCTTTACTTGTGATCACAGTTTCTTCTAGATTACAGACAATCACAGATCCTTTCTTATTTATATCGTCAAACATTTTCAGTTTAACAATGTCATCTGAAGCCGCCAGCAGGTCATATAATTCCTCATTGTAAAGCTCAAGAAATGATACCTTTATGGTACAATCACGTCCTTCAAGACACTCGAAAAGTTGACAAAAAGATCGAGGTACAAGTCCAGCCAATGGATCACTTTGCCAATCACTACAGTTTAAAGTATGTTTTCCCTCCATGGTAAATGTTTTACCGGTTCCAGTTTGACCATAGGCGAAAACTGTACAATTATAACCATCGAGAACTTGATCAATCAGGGGAGCCAGGACTGATCGATAAATTTCAATTTGAGTTGATTCTTCGGTGAATATATTATCATAAACAAAGGTCTTGTCTTTCAAAATGACCTCTTTCTTTTCCCTCTTAACCGTTAAGGTGTCATTCCGAATTTCACTTTCCTTTAAAGGTCTACAACGAACATAGACTTTAATATTTTGACTCATCATCTTTAATAATTCGGTTGATAGAACAGTTAATTAAACAATCAAATAAATAATCAGATAAAAACAACACAACAATTAACAGGGAAAAAAAAGAGCAAAATATCAACTAACATTTAAAAAGAAACGAAAATGATAAAATTTAAAATTTGTTTTTCCAATTTTGGTTACCATGGTTACGAGAACTTTTAGTTATTTAATAATCCACAAGATGACGCAGCCATTCAAATGAATTCCAAACAGTAAGAAATTGCGAAAATTAATTCAGTAGTTGATTCAATTTCTAAATCATTCCAACGGATATTGAACAGCATTCAATTCCTGAGACTAATGAAATAAATGACTGATTCCTGCGAATCTCGACTTGACACCAGTGTATTGTGACCTCGTTGATGGGGAAAATGTAACGGTATTTTGTCTCATCGTTGTTTGTTCCATGTCATCGTTGAACTGATCTGGATTTCGGCAACATTTAATTAACAAATAGCTATTCAAGGGGAGAGTAATTAATAACAATTCCAATGTGACCTCAAGTAGAATCATATAATCTTGTTGAGTAGAGCTCATGATGATAATTAACACGGGAACAATTTGAACCTCAATAACAATTAAGTCAAAAGATTAACCAAATAAATATGATTACATTTAAAGATTTTAAATTTTTTGGATTCGATTTGATTAGATTATCCTAACTAAGTTTATATTGTTGCTAATTGTTTAGTTAATAAGTCAACTGCTCACATACCTTATAGAGAATCAAAGCTTACACGTCTTCTTCAAGATTCTCTTGGTGGTAAAACGAGAACCTCAATTGTTGCCACCATTTCACCATCGATAGATGATTGTGAAGATACTGCATCTACCCTGGAATATGCTCAAAGAGCAAAACGAATCACCAATAAGCCCGAGGCAAATAAAAGGATCAATAAGAAGGCATTTTTACGTGACTATGCTGAAAAAATTTCTAAATTACAAAAAGATTTGAGAAATTGTATCAACAAAGAAGGAATTTATTTAGATGGTGACGATTACAATACGATGATTGACAAAGTCGCTAAACACGATAAAATGATTGAGGAAATTCACGGTCAAATTGCTGCTCAAATTCAAGAGATGGAAAGAGTTAATAAAGATCTTCTTGAAACTACTAAATCATCAACGAAAACTGAATCAACTAATTATTATATTACCACAGCACAATAATACTAATTACTGATTATTATTTAGAATTAAAAGTTATTAATGAATTAGATTGATCTTGTTCTTGTTGCGATAAAAGTTTTAAAACATTTGAATTAATTGTTCGCCTTCTGAATGTGATTGTTTGTAATTCCATCTCATCTTGATTTATGTTAATTGTTTGTCGATTAGTTGATTGTTGCTGGCTTGTTGTTGATTTTTTCCAACTTGCAGTTAATACAATTATACCAAAAATAAGGAAAATTAAACCAACGATTCCACTAATTGAAGCAATTACTGAAATTTCATCAAAAATGAGAAAAATTTTGAGAAAATTAGTAAATTTGATTAAACAATTGATTATCAAGTAAAGTTAATTGTTGGAGAAAAAAACTTACATGGTTTCTCATCAAAAACTAAGTTAACTATTGAAATTAAATTGTTCCCTAAATTACCAATTATTAATCTTTCATTTGAATTTGACGAGTTGATTGTTGTATTTTCACTGATTAAATTATTGGCTTCTGTTTGGTTGATAATTTGATCAATTGCCTCGGTAATTGTATTAATAGTTAATTCAGTTACACTATTTTCATCAGTAACTTTATCAGTTTCAGTTAATTGTTCAAAGTTAACTGTTGATACTGAATCAATTGGAGATGAAGTCACCGGTGTAATTGAGTTAGCAGTTAATGTATCAGGTTTAATTGTGTTCAGTGGGGTTGATGATATTTGTTGATTAGTGTTAATTGTGATAGTAGTTGATTGATCTTTTGTTGAACTGGTAAATGTTGTTATTAAATTAAGTTTCTTATCGTTTTCAGATTCACTAGTTGATTCAGTTGTTATTGTGGAGGAAAAAATTAAATCAGTAGTTGATTTAGTTTCTAAATCATTGTAGATTTCAGTAGTTGATTGATAATCAATGGCAGAAGCTGTTGTTTGTTGATTGTTAAGTTTTGTTGATATTAAATCAATGGTAGTGGAAGTTGATTCACTAATTGCTGGGACCACTGATTGTTCAAAAAATGATGGAGTGGTTGTCTCGTAATTGTGATTAATTGTTGACATTTCACCTGAATTAACGCAAATACAAGGTTCTGATACACAACAATCAGTTTCCATCGTCGTGGTTGGAATTGATGTTGTAGTAATTAGTTGATTGCTTGGAGATTCATTTGAACATTTATCTGATTTAATTTCTATATCATCAACCAATACAATTGATGAATGTGATTGCTGGTCAGTGGTCAGTGAAATTGTTACCCAATCATTAGATTTTACGTTAATTGTCCTCTCAAATTTGATCCAATTAAGTGAGGACGTTGATTCCAACGGAATTTTATCAACTTGAGTGGTTAATTTGTGATTAATTAATTTACCGCTAACATCATTTAAATTAATCAATAAATTTTCATTTCGTTGGAAATTAGTTGAAGTATAAAAATATGAGAAACCAAAGCAAATCAATGACGAAATGACCATTGGTCTACTTTCAAATATGGCCTGACCTTTGGCTCGATTCTGATCAGAAATAACATACCAACGTTGACGATCAAATGATTCCTTAATTGTTGGAAATGATCCACTAACTGATAGAGAAGATAAAAGGCCAATTTGACGTCGCCAAGGTAATTTACCTGAGTTGACCCATCCACAGAAATCATATGAAAAATCACACGACCCAATAGATGGACACGATTGATTATACAAAATTAAATCATCTATTGCTAATTGTGATGAGCTGGAAGCGATTGTTTCAATTGAGATGAGTGATTTAAGCGAAACTGTTATCTGATGATATTGCCATGAGGAGGATGGGTCATTGTTGTTGTTGACCATTGGTCCATTTAGATCAACTTTCCAACGATTGCCTGAATCTTGTCGGACATAAAGTTGTGGCATTGACCTTTTCAGGTCAATGTTGGTCCAAAATGCTAAGCATCCTTCCAGAATATTGGACGGAAGTGGGGCCAATGAAAGACTACTTGTTGATCCGAAAACTTTGGGTTCAATGAAATGACCAGATGAACTTGAAGTTGTATGATCAACTGGAATTGACTGACCAGCGGTGACCCTTTGCCACCCTGACAATTTCCAGTGACATGAACCAGTTTCAAAATCACACAGGTTGAAATCTGAACATTGAACACCACTGATAAAGTTAAAATCATCCAATGAAATTATCCAATCAGTTGATTTACTATTATCATTAGAAGATGAAGTTTCCAATGAAAATGAAAAGACAAGATAAAACTCTGGACTATTACCAATATCAACCGAAACTCTTGACCAGTCCAATGATCGGCCATCTTTAATTGAGTAAAGTAATACAGAGTCACCCACAATTGGAGTAAGTGTCAAGTTCAACCAACCATTTTGAATGAAATAAAATCGATACGAGAATGAGAAACAACCTGATCTCGGAATGTACCAAAGGTTACGAATCGATCCACTAATTAGTTGATTAGTTGATGATGAAGATGATGATGAATACTGACCAATACTCGGACTTTCATTAGGAACCTCGAGATAACCACCATGAGAATCAGCTGATCTCTGTCCAGTCCAATGCCAATTGATTGATGTTTGTCCGATTGGATACCAAGTACAATCGTTCAGATTAAAGTCACAATTAAGAGAATCACTAATTGCTAAGAAACGAACAGTTTATTCTGTTAATTGCTTGTTTAACGCGTTAATTGTTAACTCACCTTGATTGATGAATGTGATTTGTAACACAATTAAATAAATCTTCATATTGATTTACTTTAATCGTAAAGGTTTTAATTGTTTTTCATTTTTTTTGTTAGTTATTGAATTAACATAATTGATTGTGGTGAGAATTATTTTGCCGATTGATTTGCCAATTGATTAGAATCTAATTTACAACCAATTAAAGTTAATATGAACCAGGACAATTAATTTTATTCGGATAATTGTGATCTCATTCACTAATCATGTTTGTTTGTAAATTAGTCAGTGATTAGATAAAATGATTAACTTGTCAATTAAAATTAAACATTTTTTATTTTTGGTGCAATTAAATATTAATATCATGATCAACAATAAACAATTGATTCAAATCATTTGAAACCTTGATTGTAACTGATGGTTAAATTGATCAGTTGTGTTAATTTAAACTTAAACATTTTAATTTTACATTTTTAGTTTGATTATTGTTTAAATTGTACTACAGTTTCGTTAATTGGTTGTTTTGATTTACGATTAATAGAAAGGGCATTGAAAATTTTAGAGTTAATTGTCCGCCGGTGATATGTAACTACATTTAATTCAATTCCTGATGGATCAGCGGAAATACTGGAATCATTTGGTTTCCATGTTTCTTGTTTCAAGTGATTGATTATAATTGTTACAACAATTATTATGACAATTAGTCCAATTAGTGTACTGATTGAATAAATTACTGTAATTAAAGTGATAGAAAACAAATGATTAGTTGATTTGAAATTAATTCATTGAAAATTAACTTACAATATTGTTTGTTCGTCAATAATTTGATTGTAACAATCAAATCATCTGCTAAATTGCCAGTCTTTGTATTCAGATTATCATTTTCATTGGATTTGTTATCAGAATTAGTTGATTCATTTGGTAAATTTTGTGTTGAATTGTTAACTGTTATCGTTGTTGATTCATTTGTAATTGTTGTTGATGTGATTTCTTGATTGTGATTGGATGTTGTTCTTTCTGTTAATTGTGTAGTTTCGTCATCAATTACTGTTGATTTAAAATACTCTGAGGTTGTGGTCAAACTAATGTCCGACTTGGAGGTTGTCAACATCTCGGTCATCATTTTTTCTGATTCTGTGGTTGATTCAATTGATTGTGTTACATGAGATTTAGGGTCGATAGTTGTTGAAGTAAATTCAGTCTTTAATTCAATTGGATTTAGTGTCGCTATCGGTTTGACCGGCGGGTTAACTGTATAAGATTTGGTCACTTTATCATCATAATTGGAGTGAGTTGTCTGATCATCGATAGTTGTTGGCTCGAGATACTCTGGTGTGGTTAATTTAATTGTTGTCGATGGTAAAATCAAAGGATCATTGGTTTGACTAGCGGTCGGATTGTAACTCGTAGAGGTCACAATAATGTCTGAGTTAGAGGTGGTCAGTGTTAAAGTTGAGGTCAAAGTTTCGATTGTACTTATTTCTAGTGATTCTGTCACTACAGATGAGTCAAGTGATTGTGTTATATGAGTATCAGGGTAGTTGCTTGTCGCTGTTAGGTCATTTGAAGTAGTAATAGTTTCGACTGGTGATGTACACGATTTAGTTGATTGGTCAATTTGTGGGGTAATTGTTGCTAAATGAGCACTAGGCCCATCGATTGTTGGTGTCAAAGAGCTGAATGTGCTAATCAAATCGATCGGTATATTGGTTGTATGAGATCTGGTTGATTGGTCAACTTGTGAGGTAATTGTCGTCGATGGTAAAATCAAGGGATCGTTGGTTTGACTTGCGGTTGGATTGTAATTTGTACTTACTTCTAGTGATTCTGTCACTAGAGAATCAATTGATTGTGTTACATGAGTACCAGGGTCGTTGGTTGATGTTGTTAAGACACTCGAAGCGGTAATCGATTCTGTAGTTGATTCAATTGATTGTGTTGAAGCAAATTCAGTCTTTAATTCAATTGGATTTATTGTGGTTATCAGTTTGACCGGTGGATTAATTATATAAGATTTGGTTGATTGGTCAATTTGTGGTGTGATTGTTGTTGGTTGGACAGTTTCATACTCGTGTGGCGATTCATTGGGACACTGGTTCTTTTTCAATGTGACATCTAATGACACCACAATCTCTTGAACGTCCTTTGGTTGTTTCTGTCTAACGATAATTCGATAAATACCTGATCGATCAAAATGAATTGTTCTTGAAAAAGTGTTCCAATTAAGAGCTGATTCTCGTTCCAACGAGATTTCTCCAATCAAAGTTTCAACTGATTGTCCATTCCAGGAAGTTTCTTCTGAAAAAATCAACAAAGAGCCAAGATTCGAGTACCTATTAATTGAAAAAAAATAAGAAAGGCTTACACAAAGAACTGGACTATCTTGATAATCGCTCAGGTAAATTGTTTTTCTAACACTGGCATAATTTAAATCAATTAAAATAGCAACAATTAAAATAAAATACAATTTCATCTCGAAGCTGAAAATTCAAACCAAAAGAATCACTTTTTTATTTTGATTAATCAACTAAACTAAAATTTATTAATGGTTCAATTATTGCTTGATTGTTGTACTCTTGTGTTTGCAATTAATTTTGGTGATTAATTAATTCACAAGATTAGTTATTTACCCAATTTAGTTAATCAACCGTTTAGTTTATCAGTTGTTAATTGATAAATTAAATAAATAAATTAGCAGTTCAACTGATAACAAGAGGGTAACAATTATCTAATTTGATAATCAAATTTACGTTAATAAAGATTAGCAGTCAATTGTTTTTTTATTATTTCAATTTTAATTACTGAGAGTTTGTCTTTTAATTGTTATTGTATTTAATTCAACTCCATCTCGAGATGCTGAAACAGTCAAGTCTTGATTCTTGGGTTGATAGTTTTGTCGTTTACGATATGAGATCACCGATGTTACACTAATTGTGACAACAATTAAGCCCACAAGTCCAAGGATTGAAGCAAAATCTGAAATAAATCAACAACAAGATGAAAATATTAAATTAATAATAAATTTCATAAGAAAATCGAACAATTAAACTTACAATAATGTTCGTTAGTGAACAATTTGTAGGTTTGAAATAAATTACTACTCAAATCTGCACTTTTTAGTTCATCTTTTTGATTGTCATCCTCAAGAACTGGATCAATAATTGAAATTGTGACTGAATTCAAAGTGAGATTTTCAGCTGATGGAGTTAAAGTTAATTGTGTTTGACTGTCAACAATTGTTTCAGTAAAGGAATCGACAGTTGTAGATATTGTTGTCTCAATCGTGTCCAGTTCCGTTGGTGTTGGTGTGGTCACTGTTGTCATGCTGACATTTACTACCTCAACAGTTGAGACTGAAATCGATTCAGTTATTGATTCCAATGTTGTTAGTTCCATTGTTAGTTCCGTTGCCGGTTCTGTTGTTGGTTCTGTTGTTGGTTCTGTTGTTGGTTCTGTTGTTGGTTCTGTTGTTGGTTCTGTTGTTGGTTCTGTTGTTGGTTCTGTTGTTGGTTCTGTTGTTGGTTCTGTTGTTGGTTCTGTTGTTGGTTCTGTTGTTGGTTCTGTTGTTGATTCGGTTTTTGTCTCATTTATTGGTTCGGTCGTTGGCTTAATTGAATAGATATGATCAGACTCATCTGGACACTCATTTTTGTCCATACGAACGGTACATGATAAAGATGATTGACCATCGACTGATGACCCTTCATGTGACACTGAGACAATCGCCAGTTCAGCCGAGTTAAAATAGACACTTTTCAAATACTTATTCCAAACACCAGCTGATCCTTGATTCAATTTAATACGAGAAATAATGCTTGACCAATTGGTTATTAGTCCATCTTCATTCAACGCTATTAAACTGACCACAAGCTCTTCATCGTTTTTTATTTCAACTCCAAATGGTAAAATATACGAAATCTCAATACAAATAACTGAATTAAATAATTTAGGTTCACTTTTATAAATTGGTTGTGAGAAATGAGCTTAATTGTTGAGAGAAATTAAATCACAAACAATTGAAAGTTTACCAAGAAAACGAATAAAAAATAAATAAATCATTAATCACAAAACTAAACAAAATGATTTAATTAATATTTACCTTGATTGCTAAGTGATGGAATTAGTGTTAACAAAATTAAACTTAAATATCTATTGATTTTCATTTTAATTGTTGTTAATAATTTCCTTAGGTTGATCAAAGTTGATTTACTTTACCAGATCAAATTAAAAACTGATTAATGTTAATTAATTTACTATTAATATACCAAGTACAACGATAATTATCATTTTTCCATCTAAATTATTATGATAAATTGATTAATTGTGATTCTGTCTTATCAATACGGTTTGCAATTACTACCTTAAATCCGGAACCTTTTTCCTGATTGGTATTAAAGTTTACAATAGTTAACTAATTATGATTGTTATTTAGATCCATTGATAGATTTAAATTCTTGTATTAATCAACATTTGATTGTATCGTCAATTAATATCGGTTGATTGTTGGATCAAATTGAGGAAAAAAACCAAAATCAATCTCTCGATCAACACAAATGATTAAGAATTTGTAACCACTGTAGTTTAATTGTGACAATTGGACTAACGTTAATCGATTGTACCAAGGTTCGAGTGATCGACAATTATTAATAATGACCTCAGGTCAACCAAATAAATGACTGATTCCTGCGAATATCGACTTGACACCAGTGTATTGTGACCTCGTCGACGGGCAAAATGTAACGGTATTTTGTCGCATCGAAGTTTGGTCCATGTCATCGTTGAACTGATCTGGATTTCGGCAACATTTAATTAACAAATAGCTATTCAAGGGGAGAGCAATTAACAACAATTCCAACGTGACCATTAGTAGAATCATATAATCATATAATCTTGTTCATCTTGATTGATTGCTGATCGATCAACTCAAGTTTAATTAACTTGAGTAAGTAGTAAATTGTTGTAGTAGATTTTGACTTTTAATCATTGAAAAATCATCTGAACAAATGGAAACTGAATCAATATCACCATCTAAATCAACTGATTCATCAACTAATTGGTTGATAGGATAAAGGTAAATACAGAAATTGAGTTATCACAATTAAGCTTTTAATCACTTTTTAAACAGACTATTTACCTTTGTAATCAGTTTTAATTGTTGGTTTATTATCGTCACCAGAGTTAACTGTTGCTGGCATCTCAATGGTAACTGTACAATTTAGAGTAACAATTAAACACGTGAAATACAATTTAATTGTGATTAAATTGATTAATAAATTTTTCTTGGATAACATTTTCATTCAGAATAACATTCAAATCTAATGTTACATTTACAAATTCAACAACAATCAACTAATTGGATACTTGATGATTAACTATTTTAATCCTTATTCAATTAGAAATAATAAAATTGTATCTACCTAATGACCAATTAACTGTTTAATTAACATGATTAAAACTGTGATCCACAATGATTAATGTTTAAACATGTCAATAATTAATCTGATTATCAGGTAACAATTACCTGATTTAAATAAGGCTATGAATTAATCACTATCACAATTAGGAATCAGATTAAATAATTAATTGAATTAAGTTCAAAGATCAACCAATTATAATAAACAACAATTAATATGTATCACTGATCACTGATCACAATCAACTCAACTTAATTATCAATTGATTATTGGACAATCAAGATTAACAATATATTAATCTTAACATTCATTTTCATGTTTCATGCTTAAAATTAATCAACAGTGGTTAGTTAATTGTTATCAATGTATCTTCATTTTGATTAATAGCTAATCATCATTAGTTAACAATCAAATCTTTTAATGGTAAAAAATTCAAATTTATCAGGAAAAAAACAATGAGTGAGAAATCAATGTCGATTAGATTGATTTAGTAACTCAGTTCATCTGATTAATTACAATTAACACCAACCATTGTTTTAATTGCTTCAGTTAATTAAAACTAAGCTAGTAGTGGATTAGATTTTAATTGTTGTTGATTTTAATTTAATTGTTTTAAAAATGTTTTCAGTGAAAAACTTTCTCGCATTTAATAGTTTATCAACCATCTTAATCACAGTTTTGTAGGGTAAGTTAAATTGTTGACAATCAAAATGTTTAATTTCATATGTTTAATTGTAACCCTAATTGTTTTGTAGTGTCCAATGCTGTTCCAACGACAATTAACTCTGATGACAATCAAATTAAATCACTAAATGATATTCAAACTGAATACAAAGGTAAATAATTTTTTTAAGAAAATGATTGAATTGTTATGATAATAATTTAATTTTTGTTTTTAATTGAATCTGATTTTCACCTTGATTAGTTGATGATTATGATTATGATTCAATTGATTTAGATGGCGATTTTAATTTACTTTCATCAACCCCACCAACTTTAACCTCATCAACTTTTATTTATTATGAATCAACTCATCATGATGATTTAGTTGATTCAGTTTCCAATAAGTCAGATAATTTACCAAATGATTTTGTAACTGAAAATACAAAGACAACTGATTATATTGAAACAATTAAAGTTACTAATCAAGATACAACCCAATCAACGCTTGATATAAATGATTCATCGACAACAATTAACGACAATAAGAAATTAACTCCTCCATTGATTAATCCTTTTGAAGATTTCATATTTGGGCCACAAGAAATTGAACCAACAACCGACAACGGCAATTACCATGGCGAACATATTGGTTTGAATGCCTTCGATCAGGGTAGTCAAATTTTGGACACCATATTTGTAGGCAAAGAGAGAGGTAAAAATGAGAAAAGATCGGACAAATTTAACGGTCTTTGAATTAGTTAATCGGTTGAAGAGTAAAAGTAAAACTCGATTCCAATAAGGTGTTAAAATATCTTCACTTAGATTCTCCATGAGGGTTTGTAGTAGGTAGAAACCTTCATGGTCGTTGTTTTTGGAGGCGATTAGTTTTTGGAAAACACCGAGAAGAGCTTCCAATTTTCCTGATTCGATAATTTGTTGAGAACATTTCTCAATGTAAGCTTTAATGTAATCTTGATTTAGATGATAAGTTCCCAATTTAAGAAAAAAAAGTTTCTTTCAGTCGGCAAAAACTTCCCAAGGAGCTTTTCTGTATTAGTGTATTAGTACTAAGTGACCCTCTAGACACAATAAAAAAGTTAGTTTAAATGTTAACAAGCGGGAAAAAACTTTCGTAAGAAAGTTTGTTAAGGTTGTTTGACAGACCGATTTTTGGATTTATGAAAATGAAAATCATTTTTTAATCGCAAATTCGAAATTTCTTTTTCTTTTTCTTTTCTTTTTGAATTGGACTATTTTTCCGTTTTGTAGGATTTTCGGCTGAATTTTTTGACACCCTAACCTCTAATAGACTCCTTGTAGCTTGAGCGTAATATTTACCCAGAATTTTGACAATCTTATTCAAGAATGTAGATACATTTACGTATAATCTTTGTCCCAATCAGAAAACTCTCAGTAATTAATATTGAACAGTTATTAAAATGAACGAGATAATTGTTTCCCTCTCATAATCAAAGTTAATCAACAAAACTGTTCATTTAGTTCATGAAGATAAACAACAATTAACAACTGATGATCTAAATGGTATGAGGCACACGAAAATCCTTGTGAATTAATTAATCATCAAAACTATGTAAATTTTTAGGCTAATACGAGAGTAACAATAATTAGCCCATTGATGAAATCATAATTAAAACTGATTAATTGTTGTTTCATTGATTAATCAGAATGAAAAGAGATTCTTTCAGTTTAAACTCTCAGATTCAAGATGAAATTTAAATTGTATTTTATTTTAATTATTGTTACTCTAGTTGAGTTAAATTATGCAAATTATGAGAAACCAATTTACCTGAGTGATTATCAACAAATTAATTCAGTTCTTTGTGTCAGTGTAGCTTATTTAATCCCAAGGTATAAGTATTCGGATCTTGGTTCTTTGTTAATTGTTTCACGACAATTGGACTCGACTGGACAATTAGTTGAAAACTTGATCAAAGAAATCAAGTTGGAACGAGAATCAGCTCTTAATTGGAATATTTTTTCAAGAACAATTTACTTTGATCGATCAGGTATTTATCGAATTGCCGTTAAACAAAAACAACCGGAGGATATTCAAGAGATCGTCGTGTCATTAGAGGTCACATTACGCAAGAAAAAGTGTCACAATGAATCACCTTATGAGCAAATAACTGACCAAACAACAACAATTACCTCACAAGTTGACCAATCAACCAGATCTTATACAACCAATACACCGATCGATTTGATTAGCACATTTAGCTCTTTGACATCAACAATCGACGGGCTTAGTGCTCATTTAGCAACAGTCGAACCACAAGTTGATCAATCAACCAAATCTTGTACATCTAACTCACCAGTCGAAACTATTACTACTTCAAATGACCTAACAGCGACAAGCAACTTCCCTGATACTCATATAACACAATCACTTGACTCATCTGTAGTGACAGAATCACTAGAAATAAGTACAATCGAAACTTTGACCTCAACTTTAACACTGACCACCTCTAACTCAGACATTATTTTGACCTCTACGAGTTACAATCCAACCGCTAGTCAAACCAATGATCCTTTGATTTTACCATCGACAACAATTAAATTAACCACACCAGAGTATCTCGAGCCAACAACTATCGATGATCAGACAACTCACTCCAATTATGATGATAAAGTGACCAAATCTTATACAGTTAACCCGCCGGTCAAACCGATTACCACACTAAATCCAATTGAATTGGAGACTGAATTTACTTCAACAACTCATGATCATAAATCTCATGTAACACAATCAATTGAATCAACCACAGAATCAGAAAAAATGATGACCGAGATGTTGACAACCTCCAAGTCGGACATTAGTTTCACCACAACCTCAGAGTATTTTAAATCGACAGTAATTGATGACGAAACCACACAATTAACAGAAAGAACAACATCCAATCACAATCAAGAAATCACATCAACAACAATTACAAATGAATCAACAACGATAACATTTAACAATTCAACACAAAATTTACCAAATGGATCAACTTATTCAATTCTAACGACAGAGTCAATGAAAATCAGTACAACCGGAACTCCAACCAAAACAGTGCCCACCTTTGAGTCAAGTACAATGTTATCAACGACACCAGAATCACAATTAGACATTGATTATAAAACTAGTACAATCTTATCCGCTACTGATGGTCAACCGCAATTAACAACAACTGATTCGGATGATTATCAATCAACAGCTTTCGTTTTAACTGATAGACCAGTAACCGAATCAATTCAAATTGGGACATCACCAACAGCTTTACAAACTCAGGCTGAGCAACAATTAACGACGACCCTTGAGCCTGAAACTGAAGTCACAAATGAACCACAATTAACAACAACAATCAAACCAGAAATCGAGACAACAACAGAGCCAATCATTTACTCAACAACAATTAATTTTGAAACTTCAACAACTTTTCAAACTCAGACTGAACCACAATTAACCACAACAACTACACCTGAAACTGAAACAATGACGGAGCCAATGATTTATACAACTACAGAACAATTAACAACGACTCATCAAGATGAACCTGAAACTACAACACAATTAATCACATCGACAACAATCAGTGAGGTTACAACTGAATCAATAATTGATACAACCACTCAACAAACCATTGATACAACAGCCCAACCGACTCAAACTGAGCCACAATTAACCACAACAATCAAGACTGAAACCGAAGCAACAACAGCAGACCCACAATTAACAACGACAATCAAACCAGAAATTAAGACAACGACAATAACCGAGCAATCAACGACTCAGCAACCCGATGAACCACTGACACAATTAATCACAACAATCAAACCCGAAATTGAAACAACAACCCAATCAACTAAAACAGCAACAGAGTCAATGATTTATACAATTAATTTTGAAGCAACAACAAACACTCAAACTCATACTGAACCACAATTAACCACAGCAATTAGGCCTACAGATTTGAAATCAACGACTTCAATTGAGCCATTAATTTATATATCTACAGGCCAATCAGCTTTTCGCCAACCTGATGAAATCACAACAATTTCAATCACTACAAACGCAACAGAATCAACCACAGCAATCAAACCAGAAATCGTGACAACCACAGAGCAATTAATTAATCAACCACCTGAAAATCCAGAGACTGCAACACAATTAATCACAGCATCTTCATCAATTTTTGCTAATTTTCATATTAATTTAACTTTTTTTGGACTTAAAATTGCTTCTATTTTATCAGATCGTCGTTACTGTAAGTTAATCAATTTAATTAATTTTATCTATTTACTTTCAATCACTAATTCTATTTAATTAGCATCTTTTCTAGTGATTTGTATCGCACTTGGATTAGGACTTTCACTTTTAATCAGTGGACTTACAATACGATCAATTCAGAGGAGGAAACAACGTAAACTAATTGCTCAACGTAACTTTGATATTCTTTATCAAGATTTCGTGACAATTAACGAGAAAAATAAACGCGAATGGATTGTCATGTCATCGTTAAATTGATCAGAATCTCTGTAATATTTAATTAAGTAATTAACAATAACACCAATTCAACTCGCAAACAATTAAATCAAATTAACTTTTTAGTTTGAATCGACCAAATTATCTAAATAAAGTTTACATTCTTAATAAGTGTGATAATTAACTGTTAATTTGCTATTAACCTACAACGACACCATCAATAATTATGATTCACATTTAAATTGTGTTAACAATTAACGTTTAATCGATGAATTGAATAACGTCAAGTTGAAATCGTTGATTGAAAATTTAATGAGGCAAACCCATTAGATTTTTATCAATTAAATTGTTAATTCAATTTGAGATTAACAATAGTATTAATAGTACGTTGATTAGGCGAAACGAACATTAGCTTTTTCCATGTAAACAATTAAATGTTTTCTCGCTTCTTGATCCATACCATTTAGAAGTAAATTGAAATGATTAGGTGGATATTTTTGAGACAATTGGCTTAATTGTGTGGCGAGATATAATTTAGCATCAGTTATGGTTCCTTTAAATGGATCGTCTTCCTTTTTACCAGCAAATACCAATTGAGCATAAGAAGCTTGATAACCTGGAGTATCTTCAATCTCAACGAAATGTTCATCTTCGGGTACATTTTCATCTTCCGGTAATTCAAATAGAGCAATTAAACTGGTTAGAAAAGTGATCCATAATTGGGGTGATGACGATTCAAGAAGAAGAGGTGATTTAAGAATTTCCGTCATTCCAATGGCACATATTTTTCTTTCCAAAGTTCCTGATACTTTCTGAACTTCCGGAATGTATAGTCTTTCAATTACCATGGCGAACATATTGGTTTGAATGCCTTCGATCAGGGTAGTCAAATTTTGGACACCATACTTGTAGGCAAAGAGAGAGGTAAAAATGAGAAAAGATCGGACAAATTTAACGGTCTTTGAATTGGTTAATCGGTTGAAGAGTAAAAGTAAAACTCGATTCCAATAAGGTGTTAAAATATCTTCACTTAGATTCTCCATGAGGGTTTGTAGTAGGTAGAAACCTTCATGGTCGTTGTTTTTGGAGGCGATTAGTTTTTGGAAAACACCGAGAAGAGCTTCCAATTTTCCTGATTCGATAATTTGTTGAGAACATTTCTCAATGTAAGCTTGAAGAAGTCGAACCAGAGGGTGAATGTTACCCGGTCTATCCCAAAGTATGGGTACCAAAAGGTGGGGAAATATTTCAATATAATGAGCGGGTACAGGTGAACTTGAGGGTCGAGCCTCAAGGAGAAGTGACATTATTTGGAAAATGTAAGGCATGAATTCTTGGACATCTTGAATGAAAATATTCTGGAATACAGGGAACAGGATAGCTTCAAAATTAGCGATAGATTCAATGTTAGCTTTGGCTCCAACTTTAATACAAATGGAAAGTGATTCAAATAGATAGTGATTAAAGTGAGGTTTGCTTGGGTTCTTGGCTGTTTGAGTTAATTTTTCCGTCATTCGAGGTAAAATTAGATCAAAATAGGGAATCACTTGAGCTTGGAGAAGACTTAATGTTCTCATAATTGCTTTCATTGCGTATTGATTTTCCAATGAACCTTCAATGTTAAACACATTAAATAGACCGGTGATCAGGGGAGTAATCAAATTTTGAATGTAGGCAATTTTCACTCGAGGGATGTTGGTGGTTCCCTCTCTCATTGTGAATAACCTTTCAATGGCATGAGCTGCATACGAGTGAACAACAATACTTGGAGCAGCGAGATGAGCAATTATGATTGGTAGGGAGGGAATTATAACTTCCTCTAATGGTAATTGATTCCTAAAGGTCATAATGTATTTTAATGCATCAGCTCGAAGAACTGGAATATAGTTGAGGTTTTCTCTTTCCAGATCGGGTTTAATTACGGTAGAGTAAAATTCAACAATATTAACCAATGATGATGTTTGAGTAACACCCGATTGAGAGGTGGCTCCTTTAACAGATAAAGCGGTTACAAGGTAAATAGCGACGTCTTTGTTTTTCCAATTTTGTTGTGGATCAACTGTGAAATTAGTTAACATGGCTTGAATATATTGGCTAAACACTGAAGTTATTTGAGCCTCAAAGTGTCGACTCAATGATTTAACTAAATCACAAGCAGCTCGCCGACGGGTATCAGTATCAGAACCTTCAATGTCTCGTCTAATATATTCCTCTGGATCATCTTCAAACATTTCTGCATCTGATTCTCGGAATTGCATGTTTGGTATAATGACATTGGAGCAAAATGAATCAAGAACACTGGGATCTTGGAATAAACCTTTATATTGAGGTCGATCAACAACAGTTGACAAGAAGCGAATCGCATTACTAACAAGAATATCGTATTTAGGTTGAAGGCCAATTGTACTCAGTAAAGTCCAAACATTTTGCACAAAATTGGGTAAATAACTTGCAAATTCATCGTGATACTTTTGTGCATACATTGAAATGTTGTCACAAATTTGCGATTTAAGTTGCTCAAGTAGACCAGCCTCTTCTTCATCATCTGTTTTTAGACATGCATGATCAACAGAAATAAGCTCAGAGAAATGAGACATCCAGATAGAAATGTTATCCTCAAAAAACTCTGGAAGATCTTGAGCATTAAGTGAATTGAAAATTTTCACACACAGCACAAGAGAACTGAAAATTATTTTCAAAGCAGCAGGATTAGTGGCCTGACTTCTGGCCAGTGAAACGGTTGCAGTGAATAAATCGGTAAAAGGTTTGGCAAAATTGTCTAAAACATATTTAATCTCCGACCAAAGCTCTTGAGATTTAAATTCATGTCGATATCTTTTAAACAATGAATGAGCTGTTTGAAGAATACCATTGATTACAGCAAAATCACCTCCACAATTTTGCATTCGGTTAACCATCTCATCTAACAAATTTGGCCATCGAGCAGGAAAATCTTCTCTACCAATTATACTAACAGCCTCAGATAATTGTCGTTGAATCTTTTCATCACTTTTCAACATTAACCCGATGATCAATGATTTAACCATATTTCTATCTGCTTGTGATATTTTATCAGAAGCATCATCATCACAACGCCAATTACGTTTAACAAAATTTTTAAACACAAGCGAACCGGCAACTCGGGTATTCATATCAATCTGTTGCTTATCGATAAGTGTCAACAATAGAATAGGATAATTAGCATTACCCTCAATTGTTTGTAAATATTTCTCAGCAGGTCGCCTAATATTTGGATCAGGAGACAATGTTTGAGATAAAAATTGAGCCAATGCCTCCATGTTGGTATCGTTAATCTCCATGATGAAAGAGAAATAGTAGCACACAATTCACTTGAGAATAAGAGAGACAAAGAGATGATGAATCCAAATTACAGAGAACAAATCAACAAGAAAGAAACTAATTCAACAAATTGTTAAAATTGTTAATTAAGAAAAAGAATCACAATCACAATCAGAATTTGAAAATTTTTTTTCTAAAAATGAACTAACCAGTTAAACGTAGTTACTATGGTAACCAACATAGAAAAGAATACAAGTGTCTCCATCTATGGAGTTTTTCTGAAGACTGTATTGTGACCTTTTCGATTTTAAAAATGTCGAATCAAAAGTCGAAATGACCTTTAAATTGTAACCAAAACGCGACAAATTGACTAATGACAAATCAGTGGATCGATTAAAACAATAAATGTGAACAGTTTTTTTGCGAGTTTGTTGATAAACAAACATTTTTACTTCAAAATATTAAACCTTTCGGGTACCAAAAAAAACACTTATAATGTGACTTTCGATTGTATAGTTGAATTAAATTAAATGTAAATCTAATATGGTAACAATTAACGTCGATTTCCTTTCTTTTTTTGCTTCTTCTGGGCGATTCGTGAAGGTCCTTTAGGATTGGGTGAAGCGTCGACATTGGAACCAGGTTTGGGTGAGCTTTTCGCAATTGGTTCGGGTTCTGGTCCACCGACAGCACCTTGAGTACCTTTACCCACGAATTGGGTTCCTCTTTTATCCTTTTTCTTTTTATAGGTTGACCTTTGCCATCTGGGTAACCATCTTTCCGGATTTGGATCGACACTCGAATCGTAATTTTTGGGTAATTGTTTTTTCCTCTTCTTCTTTTTCTTATTCTTTTTAACCTCTTCTTTAATATTCCCTGGTGAGGGAACATCAGATTTGGTACTTTTCTTAACATATTTAGCACCCAAAGACCAATTAGATGTTTCCAAAGCATCAACATCAACTTCAGCAATGACCTTTTCAAGAGGAGGTAAAAATTTCATAATCTCTTGAGCTTTAACTGGATCAATTTCCGAATAAGCTGAAATCAGATGAGCTAATACTCTTGGATTATCTGGATTATGTTTACGAAGCTCTTCAAGTAAAACAATTGCTCCTTTATGATCTTTATTTTCCATCATTAGTTTGGCTGCTTCTCGATATAAGATAATTAATTCTGACCCTTTTGGTTTATTCTCTTGGAACCAGTTGATTGCAGATTTTAATACTTTGATAGCACCAATTTTATCTTCCAAATTTAAATGAAGAGTAACCATAATTGAAATTAATGCTAATTTCTGTTCATTTTTTAACTCGGTCATCTGACTCAGCGCTTCACCATCACGTCCTTGCGATAGAAGAAGTTGCGTAATAATAAGTGGAGCTTCGATATTATTGTTATCGATACTTTTATATTTTCTTAGAATCTCAATGGCATCGTTAACTTTTCTCTCTTTACATAAAACACTTGCTTCTAAAATTAGGGAGTCAATACCGGCTTCTGGAAAAGTTGCCTTAAATTGGGTTAATTGTTTTCGACAAGCATCAGGTTGATTGGTTAGTAAAAGGTGAAGACAATTGTTGAATACGATTGACCTTCTCTGGAAAACACTAAGCTTGGGATTGTTCACCTCGTTTAGAGCTTGTTTGGTCTTTTTCCTAGAATCGAAAATGTTTTGATCTTTGTTAACGGTAACAATATTGTTACAAGCAACTGCGATTACCAAAGGATCTGTAGGCCTAAAAGGTAAATAAATAAGATACAATTAATATTTATTACGATAGAATCACTTTACCCAGTATAACTTACTTGAGTTTTAAAACTTGATTGTACATTTTAGATGCTAAATCTAATTGTCCCATCATTTGATAAGCGTAACCCATTTGACCGCGAATTATAGCAATTTCTGAATCGATTTCTTCTTCAGTCCAACCTTCACCTTCTAAAGTGTTCCTACAAACATCTGAGAGAATGAAAGAAGATTAAATTTTCAGACTATTTGATTTGATTTGATTGTTTTACCTTCAGCTTTGTTCAACATTTTAAGACCAGCAGAATAATTTTGTCTAGATAATTCAATACAAGCTTTGTTGTAGCAAATTTCATAGAAATTGTCTCGTTCCTCAAGATCGGGTAAATTTTCAACAGCTTTAGCATTTTCCTGAGCTAATCCAGCAGCAACAGCAGCTAAATCAGCTTCTCTTTCATTATCAGAATCATCAGCTGATTCTTTTAATAGCTCAAGGTACAAATCGTAAGCTTCTTGATATTTTTCCAACCGGTAAAGCTGTCAAAATGAAAGCAAATTTTTGATTAAAACATTTATAACATTACAGACAATTGAATAATAACTAATTTATAAAATTTACCCTTAATCAATAAATATACTTACTGCTTGACATTTTAATTCTTTCTCACGAAAATCAGGCTCAGGATGAGAATCTAATGTTTTGATACAATCATCAGCTCTATTCAACCTATATTCACAATAAGCTTTTTCGAATATACATTCCTCACTTGAAAAAGAAAAGAAAAATGGATTAGAAAAATTAAACAAAAAAAAAAGAAAAGAATAATCAATTAATCTTCCAACCTGAGATCAGAGTGTTTACCAATTTCCTCATGAGCTTCTTTAAATTGACTCTCCTGGATAAGACAAATTACTTTACAATGTAAAGCTTTAATATTATCACTTTCCACGGATAAAACTAGACACACAAAGGAAGAAAAGAAATAAAAAAAAGAACAATTAAAAAATAAATCAATCAAATAATAAGAAGAAATTAATGATAATCACTGACATACTTTTCTCACAAACTTTCAATGCTTGTTGATAATTATTGATTCTCTCATATTTAACCAGATCGGTGAACAGAGTGGACAAATTTTTCTTATCAGGAGTAGCAGTCATATTGAAATTACTCTTAATCACAATTAAAACCACAATCAAAACAATTAAAATCCTAATCCAAGGAAATTAATCAACAATCAACAATCCAAACAAACACATTGTCCCAATTGATTAAAAAAAGAAAAAAAAATTTGCCAACATAACCGGGGATCGAATACTAATCACAGTCTAATCGAAAACTCCACCCAAAAGGTAATTTAATCCATAACCATAATAAAGCGAATTAACAATTAAAAACTTGATTGTAATGTTAATTAAATAAGAAAACTAATCAATTAATTAAATAAAATTCCAAGGTAAAAGTTAATTAAATCCAATTGTTGGTAGAATTTTTGTTCTCCATTATTATTATACGTTCCCTTAAACGATTTTGAGTTTGAAGAAAATTTTGTTGAGTGAAAAAGTTGCAATTGAACAATTAACAACATTTAACTTTTTCTTTATTACCTTATTTCATCTTTAATTAGTGTAATTAAATTTACTAAATGTTGATTGATAATCAAGAGTATTCACTAGTGTTTACACTAATAGAATTAACTCTAAATTGATAACGTTTTTGTGTCTTAGTGGTTGGCTTTTTTTGTGTCTCTTTCTCCTTTTACTTTATCTCTTTTCTCTTTCTTTTCTTTCTCTATCTCTTTCTCTGTTTGTGTGTCTTCCTCTTTTTTTGGTTTTCTTTCTCTCTCTCTCTCTCTCTCATCAACATCAAAACAATTAAAAATATAGATTCAATCACTGCTGCTGTTGGTTAATTATTTTCTACTTGTGGTTATCTACTTTGTGTGTCTCTTGGTTGCTGGTGTTAAATATTTTTGTTTTATTCTATTCTCTTTTTTTGGTTTGTTCTCTTTCTCAACCTACTCCTCTCTCTCTCTCTCTCATCATCATCCCGTCATCGTGGATATAATTGCTAAGAAAAGGTGATAAGAAGCCAACTGTTTTCTTGCTTTAAGAAATGGCTTCTTTCTTGGATAGAATTGGTAAAATATTTAAAGGCAGTAGTGTTAATGAGGTGAAAAGAAAAAAGATTTGCCATAATATTCGATTTAATGAGAATCCTGAGGATTTTTGGACTCTAGTCGGTGAACTTGGTGATGGTGCTTTTGGTAAAGTTCATAAGGTTAGTATATGTCAAAGTTATAAGAATATATGAAGAAGAAGAAGAGAAGGAAAGAGAAAAATTTCTTCTTCCTCTATGTCAGTTGTCTGTTTTTCTTTTCTCTTTCTTTTCATCTTTTCCTTTTTACTTTTCTTCTTTTTTTTACTTTTGTTATTCTCTTTTTGTTTCTTTTTTTTTAATCAACTTCTCTTTTTTTTTAAAATTCTATTTCTAATTGCCGACAATAACAAACGATAATCATCACCATCATCACCATCATCAACAAAAACATCAACAGGCACATCACAAACAAACAGGACGTTTTGCAGCCGCAAAAATTTGTGAACTTAAAGGAGAAGATGAATTGGAAGATTTTACAGTTGAAATTGATATTCTCAGTGAATGTTGCCATGAAAATATTGTTCAACTTTATGAAGCCTTTTTTCATGATGAAAAACTTTGGATTCTCATTGAATTTTGTGAAGGTGGAGCCATTGACAGTATCATGTTTGATTTAGATAAACCCTTAACCGAACCACAGATACGTTATGTGTGCCATGAAATTTGTAAAGGCCTTTCCTTTCTCCATCGGAAAAAAATAATCCACCGTGATCTTAAAGCTGGAAATGTTTTATTGACTTTGGATGGAGGTGTTAAATTAGGTACGTAATCAGATGTGCCTGTCATCTCTCTCCCTCTCACCAACTCTCTCATTCTTTTCAATATTAGTGCAGCTCTTCTGTTTTTATAATCTATCTTGCAAACTTTTTGTATTTTTCTGTCTACTCTTTCTATCGGTCTTCATCTCTCTCTCTCTCTCTCTCTCTCTCATATTAGTCTACCTTTATCTTTTCCATCCTTTTTTTCACTTAACGTTTCCCACCTCACATCAAACCTCTCGATCTTGCTAGAAGAAGATGATAGTCACCAATGCCTCCCACACTTTCTACTCTTACCCTTTCCTACTTATTATTTCTCTCTCTCTCTCTCTTACTCCTTCATCAATATATCATCCCCCGTCTCTCTATCTCTCCCTATTTTCTAACTCTGATCAACTCACGACTAAAACTGATGATGAAATTCTATTATATTCTCATTCACAGCCGATTTTGGTGTATCAGCAAAAAATAACCATACCCTGCAAAAACGTGACTCGTTCATTGGAACACCTTATTGGTATGTTAATTTGTTTCTCTATTGGATTTTCACAACAAATACTATTTGATATAAAAAAATTAAAGTGGCTATAAATATAATACGACATCATCATGATCAATAAATTAATTGATCACTGGTATCCTAATTTACCAATACAATTTTGTTCAATACTCTCACTGAGACTGGACTTTTCTCCCTCTATTACATTGTTACATATGAAACATTTCTCATTCTGAGGTAAATGATTAACATCAAGATTCCAGGTAAACTAGTAAAGTAACTGTCAGAGGGAGAAAGAGAGAAGCCTTATCGTTACCTTGTTTGTTGTTTATGCACCAAAAACAAAAATCAAGGTCTATAAGTTAAACTTTCTGATCCTCATTGATTAGTTAACTAAATTGATTGTGTTTGTTTCCATTGAAAAATATGACAGCAACAATGGTTGGGTTGTAAAGAGAAAAGTTTTCGTAACGCTTTTAATAGTTAAAACTACAGTTTCTAATCACTAGAATCAACTAAATCACTTCCGACATTGAATTATAAGCTATTAGTAAAATTTACTTTGTTACGGTTTGGTTTTTTAATCGTTTATTTATGCAAGTAATTATATTATTATAATATTATCAGATAAAAATCTATGGTTAATAGTAATGTGATTGTGTTTAAGCGTAAAAAACAAATTAACTATGTAAACTAATCATATGTTTAACTATGATTATTTTGTCACAAATTATTTACCAATGGAGAGATTATGATTGTTGTAAAATTAGATAATTAATCCTGTCACTTGTTACTTATTATCTCAGGTAAATTTTCAATTAATTAATTAATTTTGATTGTTTTGATTCCCTCAAAATGTCATCTAAATCAATCAATTGAAAATTAATCTCTTCAAATTATCAAAGATATGATGTTACCTTATTATTTTATTTTCCTATTTGTTTTTTAATTATGAAACGTTCATCACGACAATTAAATACTACCATATGGTTAGTAATTTATCATAATTAGTCTAGTGTTTAATTAACATCAATCTACCCAATGATTGTTTCTCTCTCTCTCTCTCCCTCTTTTTCATTACCAATAAGTTAATTGCTGTTATCGAAGATAATATTAATACTAATGATGATACATTTATTTTATTCATTAACTCAATTACCGTGTGTGTGTGTCAACCCACATTAACATTAATTGAATTTAATTAAAAACTTTAGGTTGAACTTTTTTTTTCTGATTTCATTTGATTTTGATTATATTAGTGATTTTAACTTTGATCTCTTCCCTCAAGTAAACTATTGGTTCAATATCCCGGGAAACTGTTTTTCCTGAAACTTTTTCACTGAACAATTAATTAATCTCATGTATATTTATACAACATTAGTCACTTTTTGTTGTTACCTTTTTTTTCAGCAATTAATTGTCACAATCAACTAAATAAATCTTGTTTCTTTCACCCTTACCTTTGAATGTATATATTTAAGTTACAAGCATTTTTTTTTGTGTCAATTAATGAGGCTTTAAAAGTTTTATTACTCACAATTAAGACCAAATTGATTAAATTAATCTTCATCAAGTAGTCCAATTATATCATCTGGTAATCATTTCAAATAGAAATTAATTTATTAATTGTAATCATATTTCTTTCTTTCATTTATTACATTAGGATGGCTCCCGAAGTTGTTAAATGTGAAGCTTTTCGTGATAACCCATATGATTATAAAGCAGATATTTGGAGTTTAGGAATTACCTTAATTGAATTTGCCCAAATGCAACCTCCTAATCATGAAATGGCTCCAATGAGAGTATTACTCAAGATTCAAAAATCTGATCCACCGCGTTTAGATCGTCCCAGTCGCTGGTCCAGAGATTTCGTCTCTTTTATCGATAAATGTCTTACCAAGGATCCCGTCCAACGTCCCAATGCCGATGAATTATTGAAACATCCTTTCCTATCAAAAGCCATAGATTCAAAGCCTATTCGTGATTTAATCAGTGAATATAAAGCTGAAATTGTAGAGGAAGTACTAACCACGGATAACGAAGAAGAAAGTTCTGAGGTGATTTCTCATTTTCTATTTTTTTTTATCATTTTTACTTGAAGATTATCAATCACTTATAATTTACAATAGCTGATTGAACTATTCACACACTAAACAATCAACTAACTGTCCTTAAATCTTACGTAGACAATTTTTTTTTACAAACTCTTACTTGCTAATTAACTCTCGTTATTCATTTTGTTTACCAACTTTTTCTCCCTCTCTTTCCAAATATAACTAAGTTCTTATGACATTTACGAGAGTGGGTGTCACTCCATCAAAACCTTTAACTAATCAAATAATCCCTAATGATTAATATTCTTGACTAATCAATAATATGATTTCTCTCCCTTATTTCTGCCTTTTACTTCACAATTCTAACAAAAGATCAGATGTTTAACCAGAATAGGGTTAAACATTTTCGGTAGATTAGATTACTTGAAAAGGATTTCTATTATTTACCATGACAGTTAATCATTTAGTTTGCATGATTACTTATGGTTCTTGAATTTTACTAATGATCTAATTATTCTGATGATTAATTTTACGTTTGGCCACAATAGATTTCGACCAACACTGTGGAAGGTGAATCCCGGAAGCAAATTGAGTCATCTAAAGAAAGTACCGTCAATGAATCAGGAGGAACTGAACAACAGCCATCAAACCCACCGAATAATATTAAAAATAAGCCAAAAGCTCCACAACCACCACAACCCCCACCACCACCACCGCCGCCTCCTCCGACTGTGCCTTCATCTTCATCTTCAATCAGACCACCACCTCAGTCCCTTTCATCATCACCAACAGCAACAACAACAACAACACCGCCTTCACAATCAAAACCACGTGATATGCTTGAAAGAACTCGAATAAATCAAAAAGATCAAAGTGAAAGTAGCAGTAACAAAGTGCCTTCAAAACAAAGTGAAACTGATCCCAATAAAGAAATTAGAGAATCAACAATTTGTAATAATAACAATTCTAGCAACAACAAAAGACCAGCACCTAAACCACCCTGTTCATCAGAAAATAATGTTGACCTGGTTAAAGACAAAAAGGAAGATTCACCTTATTTACCTAATAAAGAGATTATCAAAAATGGTGATCGTAAAAAAGAGTCACCTGAAAAGGATAACAATTTAGTGTCAGTTGGTTCAAAAGAGAAAGGAGAAATTGTCGAACGAAATAATCGTTCATCTGGTGCATCTTCCAGTGAGCATGATACAAGTGAAAATAAGTTTAAATCTAGTGAAGAATCAGGATTTACCCGTTACGAGGCCGATGGACCAAAAAGTGTAGATATTTCATCTTCATCAAACTACAATGTAAACCAAGAAGCAATCGGTGAAGTAACAGTCTCATCGGATCATAGTACTATCATTGATAATGTTCATGGTGATTCAAATATAACGGATTCTAGCCATGTGTCCATAGTGTCCATTGATTATGGTAAAGATTTAGCCAATCGATCAGATCGTGATAAACTAGAGGATTTAGTTGATCTAATGAATTCAACTAATGAAAATAATTTTAATGGTCGTGGGACTAAATCATCTTCATCACTTATCTCATCACCTAAAAGATATACACCCGATTTAATCTGTTCCCGTGATGGTGATAAAACTGGTACCTCAACTGTTGATAGTGAAAGAGAATTGATAATAATTTCTAACGAAAATTTAAATTCAGACCTTACAACAAGTCCAACAACAGCATTTAAAATGAATCATCGTCGTGATACATCAACAGATAATAATGAACTAGATGATCATGTTTCCGTTAAAACAATCTCATCAGATAGCTCCAATAGTGGAAAAAGGATTAAAGTAAATCTTAATCTTGTCTCTGATAGAGAGGAAACCGAGCCCGGTACCGATAGTTCAGAATCTGAGATGAACAGGAATTCCTATGTTTCACCAAGATCTTCAATGAGTCGTCAAAGTGTTAATTCAAGTTCAGCTTCTTCAAATATTAGAAACAGTCTTCATGAAAATGTTCCTACATCAACTACACAATCAAAAACAATTAACAATTCCTCAATTACTGATTCACCTTCAAGATTAAATATTCACTCTCGTATGTTAAAACGGGAATCATCGGACACCGGAAGTTGTACAAGTTTTGCAAGTTTAAATAGTGATAAAGAAAATCGAAATGGAACTGATGATGATCAGGTAGCAATTCGTAAACGGAGATCTGATAAAGTAAGATCATTAAATTCATCTTTTCTCTCTCTTCTCTCTCTCTTTCTCCATCCTCATCATTTTCACAGCATCTTCTCAGTTTCTCTTCATCATTTTGCCTCCCTCTTCCTTTTCCTCTTCCTCTTTTATTTATCTATCGATCTCAAACTATTCTGATCTGCGACTGATCTTTTCAACATAAAAAAAACGAGAAATCTCTTAGCTTCGCACCTTAGTTAATAACCTTTCTTCCTTCCTTCTCATCCTTTTTTTGCATCATAATCTCAATCTATTCCTCGGTTATCAGTCAAATTTAAAATTGACAGTCAGCCACTAACCTCTCATCATCTTTCATCTTCATTATTATTCAATAATTTAACTGTTCTTTTTCATCAAAATGGTTATGTTCTTACAGGAAAATGGTAATGTAAATAATCATCTGAAAAAATCGAACGCTTTTAATGCTGCCCAAAAGAAAACACTGACCAGGGTCAGAAAATTTGTAATCGATGGTGAAACATTTACAACCACCACGAGTAAAGTTATTTACGGTGATGAGGATAAACCAAGAGATGACCATGTTTTAAGGTAATTTCATCTTCTTTTTTTGGTTTAATATCCTATTTTACATATTCTGTTTGTTTTATGTGTTTTTGGTTAATTCATCTCTCTCATTATTTTACTATCAATTTCTTAATTACCTCATAATCATCATCTTACCTGACACAACTTATAATTAATTTTAACCAATATATCATCATTGAAGCAATTTAATCTTTTTCTGATACACATTTTTTTTTCAACGCTTCTCTGAGCGTATCCATCAAGTTAACCATACCTTTACCAAACTCATCATCATCATCATCATCATTATGATCATCTTTTTGCTCCCTTTTCTATCCCACCCACTTTATTTATCTTCTCTCTCTCCCCTTGAAAGCATCATCATACTCTTTAAATTGTTTTGTTAAGATGATGATGATGATGATGATGATGTAACACTAAGTGAATTCAAATGACTTGACCATGTTATCCTTTTCAAACATTGATCCATTTTTATGTTAAAACTTAATTCACAATAATCATGAGATAAGCTTAATCATTATATTGAGATTATCATAGCTTAACAATTAAGAATTTAAAAAAAAAATCTTTCTCACATTCATTGGTCAACCTTGATTATCTGATTGGAAACTCTCACATTAGCAACATCTTTTTCCGCTTTATGCTGATTGATTCAATTCTCTCATCCATTTACATCTCTTCCTCATCATCTTTTCAAACAGGTTTCATTCATATATCTTTATCTATCCATAAAGTTACTATCAGTTAATGAAAAAAAAATGATCACTGAAAATCATTGAGATGATAAAGATACTTTGTTTCAATAGGAATAGCGTGCTAACCGTATGTTAGTGTCATAAACTTTCATTGAGGATTAGTTGTTGTTGTAATCAATTGATTATTATTATTATTATTGCGAAAAAGAGGCAAATAAAGACTCTAAATCTTTTCCTTCTTAAATTGGTTTAAGATTAAGGTGAGAGATACTTGGTAACTTTGATAATTTATCTCCAATTTAAACTTGATATTAATTATTACATTTACTTTAAATGACAGTTTTCTGATGAAGATTTAATTTAAGAATCATATAGTTAAAGATCCAATTAAATTGTAGCTTGAGTATGACAAGCAGATTATGCTGATTATGATTATGATTATAATGATAAATTCTGATAAAATAATGATAATATGTGTTGAAAGTATGTTAAAAATATGACATCCAGATGATGATAATTTTAGTGATGAAGATGATGATTTGTTTTTTTACTGTTACCATTTTGTTTTATGTTTATGATGATATGATATGTTCTTGATATTATTAATATTATATTAATAATATAATATATTGATATTTGTTGTTACTTTTTTTTCTTGAACTTAATCAAAAATAATTATTAACTTGACTTGATTTAACCTTCAGCTGATTATTATCTTTCCTCTTTAAATGTTGCATCATCGTCTTCTTATCATATGTTTATTATTGTCACTATTATCACAATGAAACGGAGGTATGAAGAAATTGGCCTCAAGTGATTAATTATTATCACTATTATCATTTACCATTACGGTCAATAAATTAAAGGTTTCCAGCGATAAACATTAGTTATCAACCCTTTCATTTTAACTGATTATCAATTAATTACTAATTGTTGTATCAATTAATTTACTAATCATCGTTATTATATCTTTTTTATTGTCAAGTCTTTAAGGTTAATGTCAGTCTTGATTTAATTACTTTCTGTTTTTGTTTTTGTTTTTGTTTTGCTTTAATTTTGAACAATTTTCATTTTAAATCATTTTTAATTATGATGATTAACTTTTTTTTTCAATTCTCAATAGGAAATCTAATATTATTAAATATGTATTACTATTTTGAATATTTGATTTGTTAAATTATTCATTTTTCCAACTTTGCAGTTAAATTTGCATTGTTGATTTACCTTTTTCATTGATTAGTTACTGGATTTTTCTCTTGATTTATTAATAGCTGATTCCATTTGATGATTAACAATTACCATTCTCTAATCAGTTGAATTTATATAATTCAGTTCATTTCTGATTAGCTTGATTTCTTTGATTTTTTTGATTGATTTTTCATATTCTGTTCTATTCAATATCTCGATACATTGTCTATTCTTATATCATGTTTATCATTTCGTTTATAAATTTCCTTTCAATCAATTTAATTGATTTTCTATGATGATCATCATAAATTCATAAGCAATTTAATCTCTCTATCAAGGAGGCTTTCTGTTGATTGCTGGGATTTTCTAAGTATCAATTTTGTTGATTATTTTATTTATAACTAACTTACATTTCCCTCATGAGTGCATGAATAGTCAAGCATATGATTATCACTCTAAGTGATATGTTAAAGAAAACTAACCAATTAATATTAATTAAACTCTCAGGATTATCAGAATATAAACAATCAATGATTTTAATTGATACTTTCTCTGATTGATGTGATTAACACTCGTATGTTTAATTTTAACAAAAAATAGTAACAACTTATAGTTAAGCATTTAACTTAATTGTTAAAATCTGTCACAATTATGTGCTAATTATTTCATAGGAAATGATTAACAGATTTACACATAAATCAATTAGTTTTAATTTCAACGGAAATCTAATAATGAAACAAACAGCCTAATTGTTAAAAACTCCTCCTACTATTTTCAAAATATTGACCTCAATGTGATGACCATTTGTCAGGCCTAAGGGAAGATGATAATTGTATTGACACTTTGATGATTTTAAATGTAAATTAATACATTTAAAATTAACTTATTGATGTTAATTCAGTTCCAATTTAGTCTTCCAATAATCAGAAACAAACTTAATCTTTTCATCATTATATTGGTCAGTTAACAATCTTACAACTTGTTCATTTGAAGTCAATTCTTTCCGATGTGAACTTGTATTTTTCTCTCTCATCTTTCAATCACCTTCATGTCCAGTTTCATCTCTGTCTGATTATCTTCCTTTCTCTCATTCTTCTCATCTTCATCATGGTGTGCTTACTTTTCGTTGACAATATTCAATCTTCCAATTACAATGACAGGTCGGTGTTTCATCATGCTTTGCAGTTGTGTTTTATGTTTCATGTTACCAGAAAAACAAAACTAAAAAAAATATTTTCACAAGTTATCATTTTCCTAACCTTGTCGTTGTAATGTTCAGTTCATCTATCTGATAATCTATCATGCATCCCATGAGAATTTCATCTTGGAAAACTGTTTTTTTTATGAGTTTCTTTCATTGGATTGTTATTTCAACTTTTGTAAACTTTGTATTTGGATTTTAAAACTTTTTCAATGAGATTTTATCCTTTTCATCCTTTTCATCCTTTTTTTGTTTTTCTTTGTAAATTAATTTCAAAAATTCTCATGATTGATTTGATTTGTTTTGTTTTCTTCCTTTTTGTAGAAAACAAGAATTACGTGAATTGAAGATGCTTCAAAAACTGGAGCAGAAGCAATTCCAAGATTTGGCCCTTAAAGCTCAACTGGTTCGTGAACAAGCAGAGAAACGATTCGAGCAAGAAGTGGCCACTTTATTGCGAAGCTATGAAGCCGATTTGGAGGCTCTCAATCGAACCCAAAAAAATCTAGTTGAAAAAGCTGAACAACAGCAAGAGTTAGATCTTAAATTTGCATCGAAAAAGATTCGTATGGACCAAGAGCGAGAGATGAAAGCATTTAAAGAAGCACTTAAACAAGAAGTTAAGCATTTAAAAGCGGAAATTGATCAACTTCCAAAAGATAAACGTAAAGATATCTGGAGAGTTCGTAAAGAAGAGCTTGATGCTGACCAAAATGAGCGTGAGCGGTTGTTTATGGAGAAGCTCAATGAAACTCATGATATCGCAATGAGACGGATGAGTGAAACTTTCCGGAAAAAGATTGCCGATCTAGAGAGACAATTCTTACAGCAGAAACAATTGTTACTCCGCCGACGGGAAGCTGCAATCTGGGAACTCGAAGAGCGTCAAATGCATGAGAAACATCAACTCGCTAAGCGACAGCTGAAGGATATTTTTTTCCTCCAAAGACATCAGATTATCACTCGTCATGAAAAAGTACGTCACTTAATTACTTTGAATTATATTAGTTTTCATTACTCAAGGTTTTCGGTTTATCATACTACCTGATTTTCTAATTGCTAATTAACTTTGTCTTTTATTTAACAGGAACTTGAACAATTGAAACGTATGAGCCAAAGACAAGAAGATCAACTATTGAAACGACAAGCCGTCGAGAGGCGACAACTACCCAAACACATTCGAGCTGAAATGAAGGCTCGTGAGCTTATGTTCAGGGAGAGCTTAAGATGTAGCAGTGCAAATTTATCCAATGTTGAGGATGAACGGGACAGAATCCGGAAATGGCAGGAGAGTGAAAAATTGAGGTACAAAGCTCAACAACAGGAGCAAGAAAATAAACACCGGAAACAATTGGAAGATCTGAGAGCAGCATCGGAAGCAGCTATCAGAGAATTAGAACATTCTCAAAATGAGAAAAGAAAAGCTCTGATGGAACATGAAACAATTAAACTAAAACAATTACAAGAAGAACATAATAATGAAATTAATAATTGGAAAGCCAACTTGAAACCTCGTAAACAGGTAAGATAATCAACAATAAGCCTGTGAATTAATTTCCATTAGAATATGTCGATGATAATATTTATTTTTGCTCTAAATTATTTGTTCATTTCACTTTTTCTCCCATAGAAATTGGAAGAGGAATTTGCCCGACAGCGAGAGGAACAAGAACGTTTCTATGGTAATACCAATTTCCTGAACGATTTTGCAACCGCCATTGAAAAGTGCAACATCCATGGGCACGGGCACTCTCACCATACAGGTTCAAGCAATTCCCCAGCATCAACTCCGGGTGTTGATTTATCATCTAACAATTATGCTCTTTGATAAACTTTTCTATTGGTACAACTTTGGTACTAGATTTATCTTCCTATCTCTTTCTATTGGTTTAACCTGTTATTTGTCTTTCGTCTTCATCTTTATCCAAAATCATCATATTTTCATCACCATTTTCATAATTATTGTCACAACTTGCAAATCATCAATAACCAACTGACAATCACCATCTTCCATCGTCTCTTTTTGTCCCTTTCATCAAAATCAAACTCATCTTCCCAACTCTCGCAATGTATCATCATCATCATCATCATCATCATGATCATCATTTCCTCTTTTGTCAAGACTCCAGTTGATCAAATGCTACAAATTAAAAAGCGCAAAAGGAAACACCCGAACAGCAAGAAAACAAAAACTAAACCAAAATTAGAGTCAATTTTTTAATCGTCATGTAAATTGAACAATCAACAGACAATTAATAAACTAACCAACAAGATCAATTAATCTTGATAATTGATGAAAAATAAATGTCATCTTCCAAAACTTTCCCAACTCTAACATCAACAACAATCAAGAGGCTAATTTAATACCGTTATAAGAATGAAAACAAAAACTCAACAAATTGTTTCAAACAATTGTAATTAAAACTAATCAATGAATAAAAAAAAACAATTTCCAAACCAAATAAATTGTAATAATAAATGAAAACAAGAAAAATTTATATATTGAAAGTGATGAGAAACTTACAAATTTTGTCTAATCAAGAAAGAGGAAAATTTTTTTAAATTGTAACAACAATTAAGTTTGTTCATCAGTGGACCAAGCTCGTTTCGTTGATGAATTAACTTTGTTTGAATCATTTGAACCTTTACAACAATAAGTAAATGAGCCACAAATTGTTCCGATAATTGTTAATCCAGAACCAATTGCGAGTAAAATTACCAATAAGAGCCAAACATCAGCTAATTGTGAATCAGTTGAAGCTTGAAAATAAATGATAATTGTCCCGGCGACGGTGAAACAAATACCCGCCAAAGAGAGGGTGACACTTAGACAGAAACAAGACATTGAATTACTATTGACCATGAGGAGCAATTAACTTAATCATAATCAATGGATGCAGATACAAATCTCAATGGGAAAAAACAATCAACAAACTAATATCAATCTAAATGTTTGGCATCAATTGAGTGTCCGTTTTTGCTGGACAATTAGATTGACCTAATTTCTGTTTCACTGATTGTTGTTGTCACTTCAACTGATTTCACTTTGACAATGATCAATAACAAGTAGCAAGTTTTAATTATTGATTTTCAATGTGTCCCTTTTTTGATCATATAAATGATACACAATATTGACAATAAAATTACAGTTATATTAACAATTTGTTATGATTAAAAGTGAGTATAAAAAGTTAATGGGTTTCTAGGTAACTTGAATCGATTGGAACATTTCAAAGGTGAGTTTAGATGATTGGGTGGGAAGAGATTTTGTCTTCCAAATGACCATTAATACACAACTGGACATTGAAGATTAATATTTTTTTTCGAGAAATTAATGATAATATTGAAATGGAAGAAAAAATTTGCGATTCCAATTATTAGTTGTTCCTTTGATGAATGTTTGATTAACTGATTAGTTCAACTTGACTGAAGGTTAATCAAAGAATATGATTAATTACAGTTATTCTAATAGTTGTAATTGAGAAAGTTATTGATCTAAATTGTGTGAAATGTTTTCGATGTTGAGTTGGTTGATTGTGATTATCTTGTGGATGAAAGTATTGAAGCGGTTCGTAGGTTAGGCCGTTGTTTAACCGATCGAAAGATCCTTTTGCAAACGAAGGGCAAAAGTGCGCAAACGATAACGAAAAGGCCACAAAGAAATCCGAGATAATAGACAAAAGTGACCGGACTGAGTTCCATTAATTTAGATGCGACCCAAGGGTGAATCGATTCACCGACGGAACCATTGATGAAGATGAATGAAGCTAAACTATTGGAAAGCAAGAAATATTTCTGAAGTCGACCCAATGAAACGGTAAATAAAGGGGAAAATCCAATTCCAAGGAGAATCATTGAGATCCAAATGGACAGTTGATTGTAGGCTGCATGAGGAACACTGACCACAATACTAGCCCCTAGAGAGGCATAACTGACCCACATCAAAATGTGTTCAGGGATAAAATTTGATGAGACAATGAAGATAACCCGATAACAGGTGAACACTGTCCAGAAAACGGTGACCAATGTTGCGCCATTTGATTTACTCATATGAAGATCAGATTTTACGGCAAATGCTGGACCCAATGAACCTTGAGAGAGTCGGATGGACACAATTAACTGATTGTTTCATTTGATAGTATAACATATTTTATTATTCAGCTTACCAATTAATGTTTGAATTCCGAAAGTTAAATTAGCAATAAGGGATAACATGGCAATTCCAATAAATTTTTTCGTTCTTGATGGTTCATCGATTTGACTGTTTATCTCATTGAATGGGATTCGCCACCCGATGAGTTTGACCTTTCATTCAGATGGAAGGTGAGAAATCCAATTGAAGCAGTGATTAAAAATAATCCAATCACCATGAATGGATATTGAATTAAAACATCATCAGGTTTGTAATCACCCAAAAGGGCTAAATCATCAGTGGTTCCGTTGATTGTTGGCTCTGTTGACCCTTGGTCACTTAAAGGTAACAGGAAAGGTTGAGTAATTAAAGGTGTAAGGAGTGACCCTAATCCAAATGACCCATGTAAAACTTGGATATAATTACTTAATTGTGGATTCCCTTGCCAAATTTTAAGGATATAAGTATTACAAGCTATTAATATTATTTGAGAAGAGGATTAAACAACAATTAGCTCAACAAAATCAATGAGAAAATGACTTGGATGATAACAAGATATTCAACTGAATTTACAGGTGATCGGTTGATTGTCTCATGAAAGTTAATTACTTACTAATGTCAAAAATTCCCTGGGATATACCCGATAGGAGGAAAAATGAATAAACAACATAAAATGATTTAAACCAAGGAGCCAGAGCAATGAAAAGACCGGCGGTGAAATTGGTTATAAACAGAATCATGTTGGGTCCGAGCCAAAGGTCAATTATACCGGCTAAAGAAAAACGAAACTGATACTTAATCACAATGGGAAGAATTAAATTGCTCGAGATAATAACTTACAAAGTATTCCACCAATTAGATAACCAATTGAACGGCTTGGAACCAAATTAGAAGTCACCGAAAATGATTCACTCATTCGGATCTGAAGATCGAGTAAAGATGAACCAAGAAGAGTACAACAACCGCCGAGACCCATGAAAGACATGAGACAAAACCAAGATTTAATCAGTTTCACTTGATTAGCACGAAGGTACGAAGATAATTTCATGATTGATTCACTTTGAAAATTATTCCGAGAATGGTAACTGATTTAATTCAATCGTCAAGATTTGGTGACTTGTACTGTTCAAGAAATTGAATTGAACTCCTTTTTTATAGCAAAATGGTCAATCGTTACAACTGAATTTAGATTCAGTTAATTGTGAGTTTATCTTTTTTGGCTAATCTGATTATCGTTATTGTGGTAATATTTGATCATCAGGTCTGAGAGTGGATTGAACATACTCCTTAATTGTGAAATTCACTTTCCTTGCAGTTATTAATTGTGGTCTCGTTTTATTGGAGTGTTAATCTTAATCGGTTAATTATTAATACATTGTATTAGTTGAGAAAAAGTTTCAACCTTATTGTTAATTGTTATCTGATTGTAATAGTAAATCATCCAGTCAACATGTGATGTAATTAAAATAATTACTGATGTTTAATATGTTTCATTCAATGGTGAGTTTGATGATTAAAAATCTAATTAAATTTCACTTTCCATTATAATTGTAATTTCCATAAGTGTCATGATATGAAATGTCACTGAGATATTAATTAATTGTCAAGAAAAAGGAAAACTCAATCAGATAAGAAAAGAGATTGAATGAAAAATGTTACCTTGATTACGATTTAATTGAACATGGAATTAGCCTAACATGATCTCCACATGAATAACAATTAAAATAAATATCGAAATCAAATCAGTCAAGTAAAATTAATCATTTTCTTAGAAAACAAAAAGAAAAGAAATATTCGAGTAATCAATTTAATTTAAGTTCCATAGAAACAATTAAATGGTGAAAAAATATCACTTCTAGTAGCAACAATCAACATTCAACAAGAATAAACAATTAACTAATTGTTAATCGAGTCGATTGTGAATCGGAAATAGAAACTAGGAAAAAGATTAACAATCAACTAAAATGGAAGAGAGAAAATTAAAAGAGAAAAGAATCTGATTATTAATAATCAGAAGTTTTGAAAGAAATTAAGTAAAAATTGGCTACAATTAATTAATCATAATCATTTTAATCAACGAAAAAATCACTTGCCTATTTTACGCGCAGAATATGTGAGAATAGGGGTTAGTTATTTTAACGAAAATTTTTTTTTCTATTCTAAATAAAAATGTGATGAGTTTGTTTTCCTTTTTTGATTTTGGTTTTCTTCTCTCTTTAATGATTAGTTGATTGTTTTAGTTAATTTGTTTTTTTATTGTTTTGTGTAGAATGTTAAGACAATTACATCAGCCCTGTATTAGAATATCTTGTTACAAACAGGTTACAATTGTTTCTTTTAGGGAGAAAAGCAAATTCCGAGGTAAAAAGGATAAAAATTTTGATACAGTTAAATGGCAATATAATAATGTCCCTTTGCAGCCCCATGATGATTTTGAACCAGATGAATGGTCACCTAGAAGATTAACTTATTATCCTGATGGATTATGGTCTTCACTTGTACCCCGACCTAAACCTGCCTGGTGGGTTGATAGACACAAACCATTAACCATTGAAACACTTAATCCACCGGAAAAAGAGTGGAATGATGTTGCTGTTTATCCAGAGATTGTTAAAGACTCAGAGATTAGTCATTTCTTTAAAACATCTTACTTAAATCGAACCAAATGGTATAAAGAATTGGCCGCTATTCCTTCAGCTGATGAGAAAAACAAAGCTTTAACCAATATCACTCGACAATCGTTACACTTTGATAAACCTTTTTTCAATTTTTTCGGTGGACTTGAGGCTGCTCAAAATTTAACCCAAACTCACCTGATTGATGGAAAGCTACCTGATTCTTATAAATTCAGTGATGAAGATGAAAATATGGTTAATAGATTGACACCAATTCTATTAGATATCATTAGAGTAAATAATAATGAGTCAATCAGAGGGATAACTAATAAAAATCCTCTCGCATCAAAAGTCGCCCCTGAACATTATCAAGATCGTATCAAAGAACTGAATTTACTTCAAGAAGTTAATAATCTAATTCTAAGTGCTCTCTCTCCAAATTCACCACATTTAATAGATTTACAGGTAAGTTTCGAGTATTTTTTCCATTATATTCTAATTCATTTCATATTTATTTCCTTTTAAAGGTTGATATTGATAGTCGAGTTCGATCATGGTGGTATGCATCTCAACTTCCTTTGCCCCCAAAGAAAGTTCCCCTTTGGAGAGAGAAAGAATACAAAAAAATCGACCAAGTTTGTACCTACGATAGTGTTATTCCACTTTCAATTCGGACATCGAAGCCTCTTTCAAGAGTAATTATCTAAATTAATTTCAACTCAGAACTTCCCTTTAATTTAAAGTCTTTTCTTTTCTCAGGTTGTCTCTGGTTCTGATGTTTTAAGCTCAACAGCTTCGATTCCTGAGTTAACCTTTCACCCTTACAAGTTTGGTGCACCATTGAGGGATCGTTATCTTCCTTCACTACCCGGTTTTTGGCCTGTAAAAAATTTTGACCCTTCTACCGATGAACAAGATGATTTCCCTTTTTTGTCAATGTTTGGTTTACATGATCTTGCCTCACGAAAAAATATCAATTATGGTCAAGATTTTAAGGACGATGAAGATATAGTTAAATGTAAAGCAATCATTGGTTCATTTTCTTGGTTAAATGGATTAGCCTTTTATCATGGATTTACACCTTTCCATGAAATAACTTATCCATTTGTTAATCAAGGGCTAGTCACTGATGGTCAAAAGTGGCATTTCTTTGTTTACCAAATGAACGCTCACACTTTCCATAGTGATATATTTGAAGGAATTGGTCCGAAAAATATTTGCTGGATTTCACCTGAGATTAAATTGTACGAATCTTATGAAAATGGACAATTCACAGGTATCAATAATGATGTTATTCGATATCTAATTAAGGTTGGTTATAATTTTTTTTATTACTAATTACAAAAATGGACAATTCGACGAATCATATCAACTTTTTCTTTTCTTTTTTTTATCATTTTCTTTCAGATGTATTCTCAAGTTCCAAGAAAAGAATTGGATATCAACTATCGTCCACTAATTGGCAAAGATGAGAGAACACAAGAAGAAATAGAATCAACTCGCAAAATTTTAGGATTTCGAGCAAACAATAAACATTCTAAACAAATGTGGTCATATAAATTTGCTCGTTATCCACAATTGTACCATAGAATTTTCGTTGATAATCCAGATTATGAATCCAGAATGATGAGAATAGGACTTCGTCCTCGATTGATACCTGCCGAAGATTATTATTACCAATGGAAATACTAAAAAAGAGTAGCAAAGAAAAGTTCTCATAATTTTACCCAAACAAATGTAAATGATTAAATTGAAGAAATAGATTTGCTCGCACTTCTAATTCACAATTAGACTAAATTAAACAAAAATCTAATAAACTTTAGGAGATTTGTAACAATATTTTCCCAACAAGTTTCAATGATGAATCTCGGAGAAATATCTTGACCTTGATCTTAATCTTAAGTTCACAAAAATGGCTTTGAACGGTCTTTTGGCTTACCGAAGTTCAGTCTCGAACTAAATTCTATATGATTCCATTGATAGTTGGTCAAGCTTATGGTTTGAAAGTCACCACTAACAAATAAGACAATTGTTGAATTGCGAAAACATAAAGCCAGTAAATCAATTTATTATCTACCGTTAAATTGATTGATTGTTTATTAATAGTTTCTCTTCAGTTAATATAATTGAAGTAATAGTAAACACAAACTGTTGATTAAATAAGAATAAGTTTGCAATTGTGACATAACTACAATTAATTGTTTTTCTATTTTCTCTTTGCTAATATATTACTATTAGAATACAAATTTAAATAGTAGATTTTCGCAATTAGTTCACATGTTAATTTGCATCGTTGAAAAGATCATTATAAGCTTAATTAACTTGTTATTTGATGACATTTCATTTCACTTTGTTGAAGTTTTAACAGTAAATTTATATTATATGAAACAATGATTTTTAATCTGCTACAAAAAGTTATACATTTTGTTACCTTAATCAACATAAGTTTGGTTGTGATTGCAATTATCTTATTAAATTGTATTATTTTACCAATTAAATTAATCTCATTTAAGGTATACAACAAGATTGAAGGAGTTTTCTTAATTTCGTTGGCCAAGATTATATCCACTTGGGGAAGGTTGTATAAAATAAAATGTAAGTTATAACATTAATTTCACGATAATCTATTGATTATCAATTGGCTACAATGTTTTACGATTCAAGAAATCAAACTTTCAATCAAGAATAACTTTTACTCATTAGAAGAAATCAAAGTCGAAAACTTGATTTTAGTTCTCATTTGAAGAAAATTCAATAGTTACGTTTGAATACCAATTGATATCAAAAGTTTGAGACTTCGAGCCTTAGTTTTTTTGCCTTTGAATTGTTCAAATAAGAAAAATGTTTCTCAACTGAGAGTTTAGTTTCTTCAATTGTATATCATTGTACGCGGTTGATAATCATTTGCTTATCGTATTATTACTCGTGAAACGCTGTATTAGATTTTCTATTGGGCATTGATCCAACTGAGATTATTGATGTCAAGTCTCCATCAACGAAGATACTAGTTATCTGTAATCATCAAACGGTCTTTGATTCAACCGCTTTGTACATTGGATTCCTTGGTAAAAGCTGCTACAAACCCGCTAGTTTTTGGCACAAATGGCATCGATTTTATGCCAACGGGATAATTCAAAGGTTGCGAAGTGACTTCGCTATCGATTCCTCTTTTAAAAAAGGAGATTTCGTTGATTATTGGGCAAAAAACTCGAAGAAATCTGATCGAGATCGCAATGTTTTTCTACTGTTTCCCGAAGGTAAAATATTTTAATCACTTCCATTGTTAACAATTATTAACATTAATACATTTCTTTTCATCATTAAGGAGCATTTAAAAATGATTACGCAGAAAAAAGTAACACATATGCTAAGCAAAATGGTCTACCCCAGCTAACTCGAACAATTTGGCCTCGAACTCGTGCTTTCGTCGATGTTGTTGACAAAAGAAATGGTTTCACTCATATTGTTGATTGTACTCTAATGTACGAAGATATCGATGAAATTGACAAGTTCTTGTTCCTGTATCCAGAACAATTGACCAAAAAATCTATCTATGGTGTATCAAGAGTGTTCGAGATCATAAACGATGATAAAATTGACCCAATTAACCAAGATGATCAAACAGTTGACGATTTAAATAAAATACAATCATTGGAAACAGTTGAACAATCAGATTGTATTTACAAAGTACCTCAGAGTAAACTGAATGAATTTTGGTTACAGCAATTGTGGTTAAGTAAAGAGTCAATGCTAAACTCATTTTACCAGGATAAAGATAAATTTCTCAACAAATTTAAGCCTCATTGTTACGATAGAATTAATTTATTTTTTCTCACCAATTTTATACTCGCAAATATAATTTACATCCCAGTGGGTTCAACATTCATTTACCTCATCTATTTATCAATATCTACGATTTTTAAAATCCTAACTTGATCACAATTAATTGTAATCCGACATTAATCAAAGAATCAATAGATTATCAATCAATAAAGTTATTCGTTCACTTGAAAATCACATCGAGGTCGCAATTAACTTCCAACTCTTTTTCTTCGTGTTTCCAAAAAACAACAATTACCTTGATCATAGAATAGGAAAAAATCTTCACATCTTTTTAGTTCCATGATATAACAAATGATAGCTATCATTTAGATGAGAGAATCACTAGTGATTCTCTCATCTGCAAATTGATCAGCAACTAAAGGGTGTTGCAGTCAAAGGAGATGACGATTTAATTCAATTGTCTACATTTTTCTAGTTCTTATCACAATTTAAGTTAAGATAATTTACCATTTTTAACTGCAACACTCTTTAATTCTAATCTGAAAATTCAGATAAAACGATAATCCAAGATGGCGTCCAATTTCGGCGCTATTTTATATAAAATAGGTCAGATTTTCCATATCTCGATTTCAATCTGAAAAATATTCAAGAATTTTTGTTCGAAATTGAAAATTTTTCTTCTATGCTATTCTCAACTCCATGAGAGTCTCATGTAAAAAAATCGGGTTCGAATCTCAACCGAATGAAATTTTATAACAAATTTAATCGAAAGGGTGTAGAGTTTTAATCAGATTGAAATCATGCTTTTTGTTGAACCCATGTTAAATTTCCATTTCCATTTTAAATTTCCAAAGGGTAAAAATTGACCTTTTTTGGTCTCAAAATTGATCGCCAAAATAGATTTTGTCCTAACTTCATTTTCTTGATAAGTAAGTGAGCTGCTTCGTTTGCAATAGAAATTAAGTTTCCGAAGTGACCGCGATCGATTGAGACCCGGCCATGTTTGAACACCCTAATAGAAGATTAACTTATTATCCTGATGGATTATGGTCTTCACTTGTACCCCGACCTAAACCTGCCCGGTGGGTTGATAGACACAAACCATTAACCATTGAAACACTTAATCCACCGGAAAAAGAGTGGAATGATGTTGCTGTTTATCCAGAGATTGTTAAAGACTCAGAGATTAGTCATTTCTTTAAAACATCTTACTTAAATCGAACCAAATGGTATAAAGAATTGGCCGCTATTCCTTCAGCTGATGAGAAAAACAAAGCTTTAACCAATATCACTCGACAATCACTACACTTTGATAAACCTTTTTTCAATTTTTTCGGTGGACTTGAGGCTGCTCAAAATTTAACCCAAACTCACCTGATTGATGGAAAGCTACCTGATTCTTATAAATTCAGTGATGTAGATGAAAATATGGTTAATAGATTGACACCAATTCTATTAGATATCATTAGAGTAAATAATAATGAGTCAATCAGAGGGATAACTAATAAAAATCCTCTCGCATCAAAAGTCGCCCCTGAATATTATCAAGATCGTATCAAAGAACTGAATTTACTTCAAGAAGTTAATAATCTAATTCTAAGTGCTCTCTCTCCAAATTCACCACATTTAATAGATTTACAGGTAAGTTTCGAGTATTTTTTTCCAGAATGATGAGAATAGGATTTCGTGCTCGATTGATACCTGCCGAAGATTGTTATTACCAATGGAAATACTAAAAAAGAGTAGCAAAGAAAAGTTCTCATAATTTTACCCAAACACAAACTGTTGATTAAATAAGAATAAGTTTGCAATTGTGACGAAAATAACTATACAATTAATTGTTTTTCTATTTTCTCTTTGCTAATATATTACTATTAAAATACAAATTTAATAGAGGACTTTTACAATTAGTTCACATGTTAATTTGCATCGTTGAAAAGATCGTTATAAACTAATTAACTTGTTATTTGATGACATTTCATTTCACTTTGATGAGGTTTTAACAGTAAATTTATATTATATGAAACAATGATTTTTAATCTGCTACAAAAAGTTATACATTTTGTTACCTTAATCAACATAAGTTTGGTTGTGATTGCAATTATCTTGTTAAATTGTATTATTTTACCAATTAAATTAATCTCATTTAAGGTATACAACAAGATTGAAGGAGTTTTCTTAGTTTCATTGGCCAAGATTATATCCACTTGGGGAACTTTGTATGATTTAAAAGGTGAGTGATAACATTAATATCACGATAATCTGTTGATCATCAATTTATTATTAGGTTTCAGATTAGGTGTTGATCCAACTGAGATTATTGATGTCAAGTCTCCATCAACGAAGATACTAGTTATCTGTAATCATCAAACGGTCTTTGATTCAACCGCTTTGTACATTGGATTCCTTGGTAAAAGCTGCTACAAACCCGCTAGTTTTTGGCACAAATGGCATCGATTTTATGCCAACGGGATAATTCAAAGGTTGCGAAGTGATTTCGCTATCGATTCCTCTTTTAAAAAAGGAGATTTCGTTGATTATTGGGCAAAACACTCGAAGAAATCTGATCGAGATCGAAATGTTTTTCTACTGTTTCCCGAAGGTAAAATATTTTAATCACTTCCATTGTTAACAATTATTAACATTAATACATTTCTTTTCATCATTAAGGAGCATTTAAAAATGATTACGCAGAAAAAAGTAACAAATATGCTAAGAAAAATGGTCTACCCCAGCTAACTCGAACAATTTGGCCTCGAACTCGTGCTTTCGTCGATGTTGTTGACAAAAGAAATGGTTTCACTCATATTGTTGATTGTACTCTAATTTATGAAGATATCGATGAAATTGACAAGTTCTTGTTCCTGTATCCAGAACAATTGACCAAAAAATCTATCTATGGTGTATCAAGAGTGTTCGAGATCATAAACGATGATAAAATCGACCCAATTAACCAAGATGATCAAACAGTTGACGATTTAAATAAAATACAATCATTGGAAACAGTTGAACAATCAGATTGTATTTACAAAGTACCTCAGTGTAAACTGAATGAATTTTGGTTACAGCAATTGTGGTTAAGTAAAGAGTCAATGCTCAATTCATTTTACCAGGATAAAGATAAATTTATCAACAAATTTAAGCCTCATTGTTACGATAGAATTAATTTATTTTTTCTCACCAATTTTATACTCGTAAATATAATTTACATCCCAGTGGGTTCAACATTCATTTACCTCATCTATTTATCAATATCAAAGATTTTTAAAATCCTAACTTGATCACAATTGATTGTCATCCGGCATTAATCAAAGAATCAGCAGATTATCAATCAATAAAGTTATTCGTTCAGTTGAAAATCACATCGAGGTCACAATTAACTTCCAACTCTTTTTCTTCGTGTTTCCAAAAAACAACAATTACCTCTAACATAGAATAGAGAAAATCTTCACATCTTTTAGTTCCATAATAACAAATGATAGTTATTCTCCCAATTAAATGATAATAGAATGAATTTGAAATTCTAATTTTCAATTGTGAAAATTAAAAAAGTTAACGATCAAAATTTATTATCGTCGTAATTGACAAATGCATTAGGCATTTAACCATGTACATGGTACCGAACTAGACGTTCAGTTTACAAGTTTCGTGTTAGTTTTCATGCTTTTCTTGTTAGTATCTCATGAATTTTTATTAGGTGTAAGAAGGTTCATTTAAATCAGTGATTGAATAATTCGGTGTTTTCATTGGCTTGGCTTGTCCTTCATTTTGTTGGATGCATCTAATGGTGACAATCCTTTTTTTTTTTTTTTTTAGTTTTTGTTTGTTTGTTTCCTTTTTTTGTGTTCTTTCATAGATTTGCCGGGTCCTTGAAGTGATGTCCAATTTTCGAAAGCATATATTTTAAATGTTAAAATTTAAATTTTTTTTTTTTTTTAAATGTTTCATTTTAAATATGAATTTGTTGGGTAGACATGTTTAAATATCGATTGTTTAAATATTGCCTATAGCAAGTTTACTTACGATCACTTTTCACATTTTGGGTTAGGTGATAAGGTAGACATTTTGATGTAAATTGTTATATATATCACTCGATGCACAGGAAAAAGTTGTACTTGAAATTAAACTGATGCATATTGACTGCTTTTTTCTTAATTAGTTGTAATTAATTAATCACAGAGTTAAGAAGGTAGATGTTAACCAAAAAAACAAAAATCGAATAGTGTCAATCAAATCCACTAGATCTCGCTACTTACTCCAAGTTCTTCAATTGGCCAACAGATGGCGAAAGAATCAAAAAGAAAAAAAGTTTAGAATTTTTTATTTCTCTTTTATCATTAGAAAGGAAAGTTTTGATTTCTCTTCATTTAGAGTAACTAAATTAACTGTTAATTTGTGCGAGTAAATTGTCATCAAATTTACAACTGGATCAATTGATTGTGTGTTTTTGTGAGAGTGTCAGAGGAACTACAATTAATTATTTTTCTCCGTTAACATTTGGATTGTGATTTTAATTCTTCGTCTGATTAATAAAGCGAGAAATTTATTCTCTTCAACTCTTTGTGTCGACCATCTTTGTTTTTTTTTCCTTCTTATTTCGGTGAGTAGATTTGTGACTTTTGTTTCTTATTTTTTTACTCACCCGAATTGTGATTGCTAATTAATTGTCGAGAAAAATTAAATTCTAATTTGTAATAACATTGGTTTGAATAACATCGACAATTAATTGAATTGAATCTCGTTTTCAATTCCATTGTTGTGTCAAGTGGGTTAACTTAAAGTGTCACGTTTTGGGTTTTCCTTCATTTTGTCTCATATCTTTTCCCTCTCCCTTCAATTTTGTGTAAACAATTTTTCACTTGACCATTTCTTTCTGGAAATATTGTTTTGATGAAATTAATCATAATTTAATCAGTCAACACCATCAATGCACATAAACACAAGTCAGTTTGTGTATATAACTGAATTGAATTATGTTCGTGAGTGTACATGTTAGTGTGTTGATAGAGATGTTCATCAGATTAGATCAATTCATTTTCGGTTCATTTTGAAAACTTTCATCTCTCTCTCTCCCTCTCTCTCACTCATCTTCAGGATACAATTTAGTCTTTTAATCATCACCATCATTATCAATTGATTATCCACATTTACCATCATCAACAGTATCAACCATTCAGTCAATAACTTTGTTAACACCACTGATCAACTTAGTCTTTCCTTACCTCTTGTCATGTTGATTGTTGATCTGAACCAAAATACAATTAAATACCTTGATTATCCTTTAATGGTTAATATCAATTGATTAATAAATTGATCTCTTTTTAATTCTCTCTCTCATATAAACACATTCACTTTCCATCACTCTTTCTCATTGTTATATGAACGATAATCATCAGTTTAGCTTATAATCAACTTGATCATTACTTGATGATTTGATAATATGATCAATGATTAAAATCATGATCATGATCTTGTAACCTCATTAAGTATTATAATAGACAGAAAAGTAGGAAGTCCATTTTATTATTTCTCTACCTGGTCAGTTAAATCAGTTTTAAACAATTGAGATTATTGTACCAAATAGATTAAAATTTTAATCGAACCAACTGATTAACTTTCATTTCTTGATGATAATCAAATTGTCAAAGATCAAATATATCAAATTCCAATCATCTGTTGATTATATCTAAATAATAATCAGCATAATCAAAGTTTTTTTTTTCATTTCCTCTCATTTAGTGTTAGATTACAAAGTTTCATATTAACAATTTCCATCAGAAAATGACTTAATCAACTCCAACACTCACACACATAGAAGACATGATTTAATAATTGTCAAACTAATTACATTTTCAATCTCCCATTCACTCACTATTGTTTAAAATTATGTTAACTCGTATTTAATCACAATCAACAATCAAGGTCCAAATTTTGTTGTTGTTTCAATTATCAAGATAGAGAATCAAATAAAAAAAAAGCTTCCAATGTAATCCCAATGAAAGTCAAACCAAAGTTGATTATTATTTTCATCATGCTTATTATTAACAATTCTCATTATGATTAAACTTAGAAAATGAATAGGAAAATATAATAATGATGATGATAGTAACCGTATGAATGTAACTGGGTCAAACAATTGTCTTTTTTTATTCATCATCATCATCATAATGAAACGATGTGAGTGCGAGAAAAAAAGAAGAGCAAACAAAACTGACCTCGAACGTTTTACCTGAGTTCTAACTTATTCTCATCAGGGATTCTTTTCTCTTTGACTGATGATAATGATTATGATGTTCTCTCTCATCATTATCCTCATCCGAGTTTCCTGTTGCTTGCTGTGTACTTTTGGGATTAAATTGTTGTGGTCAATGCTTTGTTTTCATCATCTGGTTTCTCTCATTCTAATAACTTGAAAAAAAAAACTTTTCTTACCAACTACAACTTGAAGATCTCTATCATTTAATTGATAGTTACAATTTAGTTTAATTCAATTGAATTACTTATTTAATTAGCCAGTCGTTGGTTAGTAATTTGATGTGTTTTATCATTGGAATCGTGAAAAATTAAATTCAACTTAACATGAAAAGATGGGAGATTATTAATAACAGTGTGTAACTAGAATATAACTGTGATGATGATGAGGAAAAAGATGATAATATAAGTGTCCTTTTTCCGGGCTTCTTTTTTCTTCTTAATCAACTTTAATTCATCTTGATTGTTAATAACAATCAGTAGGCAATCTTTTCCCTCTTATCATCATGATCGTCATATCTTTTCATTTTCTGAATTAATTTCATGCATTAGTGTAACACTGACATCAATTGAATCAACACACTATTTTTGTTTCTTGTTAAATGAATCATCATTTACAAACATTTGGTGTAAATAATCAGCCACAAAATGTAACATCTGATTAATTTTACTCAATAGAAATACTTGTAAAAAAAATGATGATGATTGGAAATGATGATAACCTGTGAAAATTTTTTTTGGTATTAATTGTACTGTGAAAAAGTGCCCTAAGGCATCGGATGTTATTATCATCATTTCTCAGATATCAACAACAACAACAACAATAACAGCAACTGGATAAAGTTTACTTGTCATCTTGGTATCAGTTTAAAAGTAACTTCACCTTTACCTCTGTACTTTTATCATCCACATTTTTACCAGGTAAACATTATTACCGCCTTACAATCTGTCCCTTATTCGGGTCTTTCCTTTGTGCTCTCTCTCTCTCTCTTTCTTTCTTTCTTCTTTCTCTTCTTTATCATCATCATCTTCTTATTCTTTGTCATCAAGTCTACCAAGGGCAACGATGGGAAAGGAAGTCGTTACTACGTTTTCTTTTAATCTTCAAGTTACTCTACATCTTTTTCCTCTCTCCCTCTTTCTCTCTCATTCTGCTCTCTTCTTAACTCTCGATCTACCTTTTTTTTCATCTTCATCATCACTCTGTTTATTTTTTATGTTTATATACCTTTGGATGATTTTTCTGAAGCTTGAAAGGACTGAATTTAATCTGAATCAACTGAAGCGACTCTCCCTCACCCTCTCTATCTCACTCACTCACTCTATCATCAACATTAACATCATTATAATCAGTATCACTTTCGCTTACAATCTGTTGATTTACTTAACTTTTTTTACTTTTGTTTATTTTTTTTTTCTTTTCCAAATTTTTTAGTGGCTCTTTTGAATTGCATGCAAACAGACAAATACTCATTCAATGTCCATTTAACTTGAAGCTAGTTTTTTTTCACATGATTCTGTTGTTTCAAACATAATGGTTGATGATGATGATGATGATGATGATAGTAGTCTCAGTGTGGTGAGGAGGTGGGGTGGTTAAGGTGATAATATTTGGCGATAGTGATGCTTGAAGGTCTTCCCTCTAGACAGAGAGTAACATTGTTTTGTATAGCATTTTATTGTTATCCATCCAAAATGAAAACCAGTTTTCTTTCAAATTGACACCAACTGATATTGAAAAAAAAAGAAGACACAAAAGTATCAACAACAACAACAACAATCGAGAAAAAAGTCAACAATTTAGCAACAGATGATTGTGAACTTGAATTTTATATAAAGACACAATTATCATGTTACTCTCATCTTCATCTTCATCTTCGTCTCTCTCACTCTTATCCATCTCTTTTTATTTTCATTTTCTCTCTCGTATATCAACAATATCATATGTTATCTTTGCCAATTCAAGTTTCTGCTTCCAATTGATGATGATAAATGTAAACAATTATCAAAGATAGAGTTAAATAAGTGATTAGATAAATTGGAAGTTAAATAATCAACATTTAATTAGCCAATTGATTAACCTCTCTCTCTCTCCTTAAATTCCTACTACCAAGTGGTTAGTATCAACTAATTGTTGGTTAATTGAATTTTCTGATTCTTTATTTTTTAACCCAATCCATTATAATACTTTGAACTAATTTTATTTTTATTATTTTTATAATCAAAGTTGATTAAAAGGATTTACCTATTGAAATAGGAATTTTCTTTTTCTCTAAGATAATTGATCAATTAATGAAACAATTGATTTGCTATTTACTAATTGCTGAAGCTTTTAATAATTTTTAAACATGAACCAAAAGGATTTGTGATCAACAGTTGCTCATCACTATAATTATCACTAATGAAGTTAATTATTGTTGATAATAATAAAAGAATCGTGATTGTCACTTAGCTTTAATGAGCGATGAAGATAATATTGAGGTTTGATAAATCATTTTATCTTTTTTATCATCCTCATCATAATCAGACTTGTCAATCAAATATATTCCTGGTCAATCACAGATACAAAGAGAGAGAGAGAGATGCATGTAAATATGATCATGAGACCATGTATCCAGCACTCAAATCTAAAGTATTGATGATTATTAGAATAGTATTTTCTTGTTCTGACTCTTGATCATCATGAGCATCTTCATCTTCATCCTCCTCATCAACTTGACAATCTCCTTATCAGGTCAACATCCCAATGGACGTTATTACCCAAGGTCATTGCCAGAATTGAAATGATAACCGTTATGATTGATATAGAGAAAAGAAACAATGAAAACGGCAAAGATGATAAGAAATATGAGAGAGAAAGAGAGAGTGAGTATATTTGAGAGAGAACTGGTCTTACTCCTCCACCTCCTTCATCATTATCATTATCATGATTATCATTTGAAAATTTTTTTTTTCTTTCCTCCGTTGACAATGAAGATGATGAACAGTCAGAGATAAGGAAGCTGATGGAAAGATGAAGATGAAAAGTACCTTGTTGATTCCACCCTGAAAATGTTCATTGTTCAACATTTTCTTTCCGAATCCATTTTCAATACATGTATTACAATTGTCATTATGATGATTATCATCATTATATTATTATTACTCATAACTATTTGTTGATGTTACTTTTAACAAGCGAAAAATAATAATAAAAATCATATTGACAACAACAACAATTTTTAACTTTACCTTTTGTATTGTGTTTGCTTATTGTTGCATCTTTGATTATCATCGTTATTATCATTCACTCATCATCACTTGATTAGTTAATCATGATCAGAGTGTGTGTGAGCGAAAAAGATGAAA